TCCAAACTAACGGCCAAGGCTCCCCTTGGACTACACTGCTTCGACCCATCTATGAGTCAGGATCAGATCACCAGCTGATCGAACCGACGACAACCGTATTGGCGTTCACTTATAAGCTGGTGATCATTAAGGTACCTCATGAGCTGGCAGTTTATAATAGATTCCATTATTTTGAAGAACAAAGAGGTGATGGTGATGGGGACTGTAGTAAGACGGGTCTGAGCGGTCGCCTTTTTAAGGAATCGGGTGGACCAAAGCTGTCTTCCATGAATTACATCGATTATTCTTGCGTTTCTTCACTTTTTTCCTTTCTAATTTAAGCTATATGAATATATAGTCGTTAAAGTTATTGTTGCGGTTAGTTTCTGTTACGTTACGTGGAATTAACCGCACCAATAACACTGTCAATACTTTTTCTACAGCCAATTTTGATTATTTCTAGTTTTCAAAATTTTCCCCTTTGTATATCAATAATCTATCTTGATGCCAAACTAGAAATGGCCTAAGTTTTTAATGAGCGAGTCAATGAGTGATAAAAATTACACTTTTCAGACCATAATAAGTTAACAACTATAATAGGTTGATTCATGAAATTAGAGAGTCTAAGTATTCACACACAACACAAACACAAACACATGCCTGTCACCCAAAGGGGTAGGCAGAGATTACGGACTTCCATTTGGCGCGATCCAGATACACCTCTCTCGCCTCCTTTACATCCATATATATATATCTACGCATACACGCTCGTCGATTAAGGGTACTCCTAATCTGGCCCATTTTCAATGTATCGCCGATTTGGTCGATAAATCTTCGTCTAGGGCATCCCCTCCCAACTCTGATGTTCACTTCTGAAACATAAATTTGCTTTGTCACTCTTTCCTCGTTCATTCTTTCTACATGACTAAACCACCGAAGCATTACTTTTTTAATCCTGATCACAACGTCATCTTGCAAACCACACTTTTCTCTTATCACACTATTTCTCACCCTGTCATTCAGACTATTCTTCAGACGTATTCACGGGGTCATAATTAGGTATGTAATATTTTAGTGTAGGTCTAGTTTTTGAGTTATGGTGAGGGGGTGGGAGGGGTGGGAGGGGGGTCAAGGGTCGAGGCGACATAGGGAAATAGCAGAACAATATTCTCCGCCAGACTAAAATACCTATTAAGGTAACGCATGGAAGCGTCAAAGCGTGCGAGACGTCTTGTACTGCAATCAAAAAATCGCCTGCTAATTGTAGCGAATATAGCACCTCGTTACAACGGAAGGGACCTACGTCCAGCCGTTGAATCATTCGGACTGATTAAGAAGATAAATATGTAGGCTGTAAAACCGTATAAGAGAGTATGATGAGCTATATGTGGTAGAGACACACTGCAGCTATATAATTGTAGCACTAATGGATTCTTATAGAATACCAGAGTAAAATAACGGTTTACTCGTATTGCTGCTGGGTTTCTTATGACGAGAGTAGAGAACCGGAGACCCTTTTTAATCGTGGTAGAGTCATGCTGCAGCTATATTAGTAGTATAGTTGGAGCACGTATGGGTCGGCTCGACCGGGGAAGGACCACGCTCTCACAGAATACCAGCGTAAAATAGCAGCTTAACACTTCTGTGTTTCGTATGGTCAGTGTAGAGAACCGGAGACCCTTTTTGCTGGAAACGAGGCACTCCATCTTAGTCCTCACGGGTGACAACGGATCTGCATTTTGATTCGCAAGTGAGGTTAGATGTAGATGTCTATGGGCCACAGTAACCACTTACCATCAGGTGGACTGTGTGCTCGTTTGTCACCCTATCCTATAAAAAAAAACGAAACGAGGCATTCCATCTTAGTTTTTAGTGGTGACAGCGTATTTGCATTTTGATTTGAAAAGTCCCGCTGGGTTTCTTGCTGGTTCTTCCCAGGACAGAGGTATTTTCCGAACCAGTGGTAAATAAAATAATGACTTTCAATAAGTATTATGTAATAATCCATATTGAATAAAAATCATTCTATTCTATTCTTAATCTAGGATAAATGTAGATATATATGGAACACAGCATCCACTTACTAGCAGGTGGACTGTGGTCCTTTGTCACCCTTATTCTATAAACAAGTCCCATATTATGTTTCATTACCCTGTTAAGAATAAAACAAGGTTTGTGACCAGCAGGGAATGTGTCTCTTTAAAGGACTTAAAATTTCAGCATTATCGGATGCCGCGTTAATAACCATAAATTACGATCACGAGATATGATGAGCTCACCTATACGACCACCCTAGATGAAATTAAAAATAGTATGAGCGTCCGACACGAATGGCGCTATCATACACGGTAAAGTCAACGCCTTATCGAACGCACAGGAGCTACTGGACCTTTATCTACTTGAAATGATCTAGTAACCACGTCTGATTTCGATTTAGCTTGTGATGTAATCACCAAATCACCATGTTTGACAATTCTCCTGAGTTTCAATTTTAATTAACTTTAGATTTCGTCATTTTCACTGAGATCGTGACTCACTTTGTGATGAATTTCCTATCAAATGTCATTAAAATACGTAATGGTTAAGTTACATTTTTAAACTAAGAAAGTCACGAAATATGATGATTATCAGCTTCAGAAGTTATCTGGGATAGAAAGTAAAGTACGTAAGAGGAATTTGCCTTTTAAAAATGCTTTTATTACATAACATTTATAAGCTAGGGTCATGGAATATTCTGGTAATAGACAAGCTACATTTTGTAATTTTTAATGATAGTACTTAAATAGAGAATAATATCAAATCATAGTAATTTCTATGAAGGACATACTATTTTCAGAGTATTAATAGATGAGTAGTTACATTAATTAACTAGCAAACCGCTTTATTGGCTTCATTTAGATTTAAGATAATCATCATAGACCATTTATACTATCAATTATTCGAATTTAAAAAAAAATCTCAGTTTTTAAAACAGACAGTTCAATTTTATTAATATGTATAGATGAATAGGCAGATTTCTTGAGAGAGACATTGCTTACACCTGCAGCTGCTCTATTAGTAGTCCTCTTTCTACTCTGTAGGTATTAATTAGTCTGTACAGTGTGAGTGTAACATGCATCTGCAGCCTTCTTAGTTTCGGTCTTCCAAGTCCAAGGGTGTTGACAGGTATAAGGTGAACACTTAAAACTACTCTGTCACTCTTTGTTAAAACAGTAGGAATTAATTAAACATTTTACAGTTTGATGTTCTTCGATGTAAGGCTACCAATTAATAATTAATAAAAATGCGTACCTCAGCAACATATTCTTCCTCGGCATTAGTTATCGTTAAAATTGCCGTCCTACTCCACTGAGGAAAATATCGATATGAAGGTGACACCGTCGCCGCGGGGTGAGCTCCCATGCTCGCCGATAGTTTCGTACTGAATAGCGTTATAAAAGCATTAGTGCACTAGACAACGGTCGAAATATTAAAATCGTTACAAATTCGATACAATAAAACTCGCACCTGTTGCGCACCAAACACTATTATGATTGGCTCTTCACGTTACATAAGTAGTAATTTAATTCTCCTATTTGGATATTAAAATATAATAGAGCTTTTCAATTTAACACTGTTCTTGGGATTAGTAAATTGAGAAATTCAGACCAAAGTACTTCTTATTTTAAATGTTTTTAAACCACTAAATGATATTGATATTTAGGGGAGTAGGAGTTTTTGATATTTTTAGATCCTAATTCATTTTATAGTTAAAACATAAACGTGTATTAAAATAAGTACATATTTTGAATCAGTTATGTATGTTATATTATTTAAATGAATATAAATAATATACAGGTACTTTCATTGTTTAACAAAAGCTGATAATTATGTAGTTACTAGATATTATTCTTTGTTATAAATCATAGATTATAATATGATATATGTATACATTGGTATACATATATTTGTTGTAAACATAATGCTGTTGCTAAGCAACAAGCTACCGATGATCAATAGGTAGCAAAGAGAATATATTCACTACGTTTAGTAGGTAGTGGGTAGTGGTTTGGGGCAAAAAAGCGTATGTGTATGATAATTAATCTACCTAATATTAAATCTTTTCTACCTAATGTTATAGTTCATTTCAAATAGGATGGCAGGATTCCACTTGAGACTTAGCAATTACAGCTGTAATGTTAATCTATTGTTGTGTGATTATTTTATTGCTTTAACACTTGAAGTTAAGCATCTGTTGATAATACTGAACCAGTATAGCTGGAATGACGAATTTTGGTACTTGAACATTAAAACAAATTAAATTGTAGATAAAAAATCTTAAAAAGTAATAAAGATTTTTTATCTACAATTTAATTTGTTTTAATGTTCAAGTACCAAAATTCGTCATTCCAGCTATACTAGTTCAGTATTATCAACAGATGCTTAACTTCAAGTGTTAAAGCAGTAAAATAATCATACAACAATAGATTAACATTACAGCTGTAATTGCTAAGTCTCAAGTGGAATCCTGCCATCCTATTTGAAATGAACTATAACTAAATGCTGTGGCTCGTAAAGAAGTGAGATGGAATCCCTCGTTTCTGATGAAAAAGGTCTCCGGTTTTCTCGTTTGTGAAGAGTATAATAATATTATAAACTTAGTGATTTACATTCTGATACATGCTGATCAAAAGACAAAGTAAAATCAATAAATTGCCAAAATCATTGAACCAAAAAAAAAAAACTAATTCGGACACTGTTAACCGTGTTGCAGGCTTAATTAGTGGAAACGATGTAACAAGTACTCCGACAGTGACATCAATCTAAAGTTTTTTATCCATTAGACAGTTTGAGACACTAGGGAGATTTTAGCCAGTGATTTGATGATGATAGCGCTATCAACTGTTCGAAGAATAAATCTCCCAAAAACTTCGAAATATGATGCATCAGCAGAATGTCAGAAAAGACTTTATGGACTGAGATTCCTTTGACTACATAAAAAAAAGAACAACAATAACAACCAATTTTGTTTTTGTTTACATGGTTACGTCAAATTAAAATATTGGCTTGTTATCCTTTTACAATAAATATATAATCACCTGTAATTGCTAATTAAAATTTGATTTTGTGATTGATTTTCTGACATAATGACATCAGATATGGATACTTCTGTGAGAGGATTTTCCTTCATGCCAGAGATTAAAATGAAAGAAATGAACTTGCAGGTTTATATATGAAATATTTACGAAATAATATGTTATTGTGGAAATTAAAATTATGCTCTGTATAAAAAAAAAAAACTTAAATGACCTAAAATAACAAAAAATGAACACTTCTATATTTTTGATTAACTCTGATATCATCGAATATTGCTATTAAGTTTATTATTTAAGCAAGATAAAAGTCTCTTTTATTAATTTTTTGTAGTATGTAGAAGATTGTGAACTAGAACAAGTTTGGAGATCAAAACGTCGAGAACGTCTGAAGCAACAAGAACAAAAGATATGGGAGGAGTTCATCCAAGAACAAGACATGGTACAAAGCGTCTACAAAAGTAGGATTTTATTGCACTCTCGTAACTTTATAGATTCGTTATAGTAAGTGGTCATATCAATCAATCCTTTGTATTAAAACTGCCTGACAACCACTAATGCTGCAAAATTATAAATCAAATGTGACAAGCAACAAAGGAACAGTGGTAGAGCCACGCGGCAGCTTTTGCTGTCGCACGGATGGGCCAGCTCGAACCGGGGTGGTACCACGACCTCACAGAATACCAGCGTGAAGTAGAGGTTTACCTCTGTGCAGGTGGCTGGAGGCCCTTTTTACTGGAAATGAGGCATTCCATCTTAGTCCTCACTGGTGACAACGCATCTGCATTTTGATTCGCAAACGAGGATAGATGTAGATGTCTATGGGCCGCAGCAACTACTTACCATCAGGTGGACTGTGTGCTCGTTTGTCACACTTATCCTATAAAAAAAAAAGCAACAAAGGAATAAAATAGGTAAAGTAAGTAGTTTAGGCCGGCAATGCATCTGCAATTCCCCTGGTTCCCCTGGTGTTGCGGTTGTTCATGGGCAGCAGTAGTCACTTACCATCAGGTGAGCCGCATGCTCGTTTGTCCTCTCTCCTATAAAAAAAAAGTAAGGTAATCTTTATCGGCCCATGTTCAGCAGTGAACTTTATGCACAAGCTGACTAAAATAAGAAAGGAGAATGTAAAAGAGGTTTTTTTAATCAATTCAGGCTGTTTTAACACTCTTATGAACATCAAAATTCACACCACTTCAGATATGATCAGCAGTGAGCTTGGTTGCAGTCAAAGACAGAGATATTAACAAAAACAAAATATATAATTGTTGACTTTACATAAAAATTTTACTGGGTTTCTTGTAGGTTCTTCCTATGAAAGAGATTTTTTTTCTATATCTATGGTAAGAAATTAATCTTAAAAATAATTTGATATGTATTTTTTATATTCTATAGTGGATAAAAAAATCAATTCGATTTCCATCTAGTCATAGATGAAGTTTGCCTATATTTCTTCTTTTTTTCTTTATCAACCCTAAGGCATCTGTTGAACAGTGGTGGTGAAAGGTCGTGGGCAATTTTGAGAAGATCAGGAAACTATCAAGAGCAGTAAAATGTGAGCAGCTTGTAAAGCATTCCATCTTAGTCTTCTTTGTTTGAAGCTAGCTATATATATATCTATGGACTTCAGTAGTCACTGCCAACAAATGGAAAGTACTTCTGTAATTTCTATATTATAAAAAAAAATATTTGTCACCCCTCAGTGATCTAGAGAATTTATCTAGTATTTATCTGGTAATTAATGGGGTAGGTTCTCCTCTCACACTGCCATCACATATTAAATGATATTTCAACATAATAAAACTTTTTATAGTCATTTCTTATCTTTACTCTTATTTAGTCTATTTTATATTTCAGGTGACCCCTATCAATTCATAGAAAATATACCTGAAACATGTCTGCAGGAACTCTTAGAGAAAGAGTTCAAAAAAAGGCAAAAGAAAAAGGTTGATGAGGAAGAGAAAGTAATAAAGCAATTAATTATTTAATGAGCTCTTTTTATATTTATTCAATATACTATTGGAAGTTGTTGTTGGATTCTTCCAACAACAAACAGTGTAAGAGAATCCATCTTACCTTTTCGTCTTATGGTGGTGTGAGCGGCGACTATGGAAAAGTTATTTTTTTAAATATTCACTTTAACCACTCATGCTTGTGTTAAAAGTGGTTCACGACAGCAGTCAGCTAGCTGATTCAAAAACACAACCTCTTTGAGTTCGGGATTGGGCTACTGTCGCTTAAATTGTGGCTTCCAATTGATCGTGGTATAACCACCTTGTATAAGCCTGTGTAAATTACCTAGACCGGCGACAAGCTGGAGTGTGGTCGAAAAAGGTGTAAATCAGTATGTTTGGACAAGGCTGGCAAATAAGACAAATCCCCTCTGCAAGGGACCCCTTTCTTATCCATATCAAGTATGGGACTTTATGGGCTGATGATGATGGTGACTGTTATTGTGGAATAGAAATTGTCAACTGCCTGAATTTTATTGTTGTTTCATACGTGTAATTCCATGTCCCTACATAACAGGATGTATCATCCTACCACTGGATATTTGCTTCTCATGTTCTGGGGAAGGATTTGTCATAATCATTCCATATCATGAGCATTGTAAGAGGCGACAGAGAGAAATGAAACAAAAGCTGGGCAGCAGGATATTCCTGACAACCAAAATAATGATAAACCTGCCAAGCGTGGCTACTATGGCAAAAATCCGTGCCCTCTTAGGCAATCTATGTGTGGAACATGTTCAACAGTAAATTTTTCAGAGAGACTAATGTATGTAAGAATCAATCAAGTAGACGGAAAATTGCATTACTAGACTTCTGACACCTTTGGCAGTGCCCCTAATCGTCAGTATGAGTATTTTGTTATACATCAGGCATATACAAGATCTGTCACCTAGTGAAGGCCACTAATTCTTTCTAATCTTTCTCCAATTTACCTCTGGGACAAAATAAATGACGGATTACTTTAAGGTACTGTGTATGTAATCTTCTTTTCCTTTAAACAGGGTTGTTTTTCAAATGCTAGCCAAGTTTAATAATTAAGTTCTAAATATAAATACTGATTACACTTTTTGCAATTTTTAAAAATACGCATAAATAAGGTTGCTACATTTATTTGAAAATATCCGAAATTGAATGTGATTTACGGCCAACAATTTTTACATACGCGCTCGTGTGTGTACTATTTACTTCTTTAATGACACGCTGGCTACTAAGTTGATAACTACGCGACGCGAATTATGATTCCAATTTGCTCATTATACTTTAAAGAGGCATAGGATCGTCATAATAAATAAAATTAAAAAAAAATATTTTACATTTTAACGGCGCAACCGATGACAGTCTTTATTATTATGGCGTGATTAAAAAAATAACAAATTAAAACGATTAATTATTTAAAACAACGAACTTTCTCAAAAATTTTCAAGATGACAGACTGACAGACTTTCGAGGGACCATCGTTGTTATCAGTGCTTGCACACGTTGGTAATGAAAGGATGATAGCAAGAAGAATTCAGTAGTTTCCACACGTACTGGCCAACTCTAAACTCGAGCTGCATCATTGACGCTAGCGTGGGGGTTTCGCTTTGGACAGCCGGGCTTCTTACTGAATGACCACCTCGAGTACTTCTATGTGACGTAGTAGTGAACTGTCCAAATTCTAACATCCTTCGGTTAGCTGCAAAAATTGTTCTCCAATTGGGCGGTACAAATGCGTTAATTTCTTGTATTTGCAAACATGGTAAAGACTCACTATCGTATAATATTTGCGCACCACGTAAAATTTTATTGCTTAAAATGTAACATCGTACCATTTCATAGTATTCGCGGTTCGAATATTGTTGTTGCGTCATTGCTAACGAAGTGGCAAGTAATATTGCCTACGAAAATTTGAAAATAAAACACTGGTGCCTGATGAGGGCACAGTTAAGCGAACACTGTCAACCGGGGCCGATCGGGTGAACGTACCTAGGGGTGTAACGGTTTACGAAAGTTTGTTTCTACCGAGTCAAAACACCTATTCGATACCTAAATCTGTAACCGAGCGCGAGCGTCGAACTGGCCGAATGCCACCTACTCCTTCCGAATGTACCTAAAATAGTAGAAGCTACATATTTATGAATGACAACCAGTTAAAATAATGCATTTTCACACATTTTGAATATAAAAGATGAAAAAGACAAAATGAGTATTTTTTTCTTTTTTTTTTTTTTTACTTTCTACCCGCTTTTTTCGAGCGTTGCGCTCTAAATAAGCGGAACGTTCCAAGGATGGCCTGTAGGTTCTCTACCGTTTTTCACAGTTTTTTCAACATTCTCTTATATCACCTATTCTGAACCCCCTCTGCAAATTTGGCCGTATATTGCAAAACAACACTGTACATACAATTCCTGTCATGTTTGTCACTGAATTCCTCCTAAACGGCTGAACAAATCTTGATGAAATGATTTGTGTGTATTTGAGTCGGTCCCTGGATGGTTTACATTCACAATTGAACCCGGTAGGTAATGCTGTTCTTGAGATCCAAAAATCACCCATGCGAAGCCGGGGCGTATCCTAAGTATGTTATGAAGTTTATTTCAAACACTTATATTTGAAGTCTTTTTATATATATTCTATAATAACGTAACAAATTACAGGAAGAAGACGCAGTTGAAATATCCACTACTCCTCCAGATACTCCATCAATTGTTGTCCAAAATGATAAGATAGACATGGAACGGCAGGATATACAAGAAGTCTTACACATTTTTTATGATGATAAAGACAACGAGGAGTTGTCAGGTAAGTTTTTTTTTTAGTATTCTAAGCCAGCGTTTAACTACAATCCCACCTGATGGTAAGTGGTGATGTACCCTAAGATGGTGAAGCGCACTGTCTTAACAAAAGTCTATTCACCTTGAAGACAAGACAGATGATGGCAAGTAGTGTTTTTTTTTATAAAACTGTAGTGACAAACGTACTTACATTCCACCTGAAGGTAAGTGGCTGTTGTAGTCCATAGACACTGCGGTCAACTTCAAAGGAAGTAGGGTACAGATACATTGTCACCCCTGAGAAATAAAATGTAATGCTTCACTGCCTACAATTATACTGGCTCTCCTTACCCTTCAGATCGTACACGTACACGTTCTATACGTGGTAGAGCCACGCTGCAGCTATATTAATTGTATAGTTGTAACACGAGTGGGTCGGCTCGACCAGGGAAGGACCACGCTTTCACAGAATACCAGCGTAAAATAGCACCTTAACGCTGCTGTGTTTCGTATGGTGAGTGTAGAGAACCGGATACCCTTTTTACTGGAAACAAGGTATTCCATCTTAGTCCTGACGGGTGACAACGCATCTGCATTTTGATTCGTAATCGAAGATAGATGTAGATGTGTATGGGCCACAGCAACCACTTACCATCAGGTGGACTGTGTACTCGTTTGTCACCCTTATACTATAAAAAACAACATAGCAACACAAGCACTGCTATTTGTCAGCAGAAATAGGCAAAAGGGTGATACCTATCCAGACGTACTTTTAGACAGAAAAGGAGAGAGGACACCACTTACTAAACAGTAAACAATGTTTTTTTCATTAAAAATGCTTCATTAATTAAGCGGTAGATCTCCTTTTCTGCGTAGGTGCCCATCTGGATTAGTACCAACTTCTTACTTGTTACAGTTAGATTTCACATGTGGTTGGTTGATGCTTATGGTTTCCAGAAGCCACTTACCATCAGGTGAACTGTAAGCTCTTACATCACTCTTATACTTGTATAGTAAAATAATATTTTCACTCGTCTTCTTCAGCTGTACACTGAAAAGACCACTGCCGTTTCATTATCATTACAGCCCTTCATACAACCTGAACGTAGGCCACCTCCAAAGAATATCACAAAGCTCGGTCCTGAGCCACCTGCATCCATCCACCTGCATGTCTTACCTGGGCGTCACTGCATCTAGTGGGGGGAAGCCCTACACTTCCCACTTCCGCCGGTACGAGGCCGCCTCTAGAGAACCTTTCTTCCTCATCGCTTGTCGGTTGTTCGAGTTATATAGCTGGCCCATTGCCACTTCAGCTTACTAATCCAGTTATGGTCACTTGTCAGGAGTATTTGACTCAATCGTCATGCTTGGCTGATTGATTGACCGCAGCACCAAGTCTTGAATCCTAGTAGTACAGGATTATGCTTTGTAACAATCTATGTGGGAAGCCTATGTTCAGCAGTAACTTGAAACGAAAAGTATTGATGATGATGATGATTCTTATTCTTATTCAATCCGTTAATAAACGCTACTCCCCCCCCCCACCCCCCCCACCCCCCACACACACTAGGATTATATCCTGTATCGTGGAAACAGTTTACATACATAAATTGCACAAGAACAATCATCCATACTTGGAACAAATATTTGTAGGCCATACAAATGCATGTTTCGTGCGGGATTTGAATACCTGATACCATAAGCGTCGCAACTCAATGCTAAACCACTGTGCAACGGAGCTGTCGATGACACGTCGTGATGTCATAAATATCATTATATTTAAGGTAACGAGTTGAATGAGTCTGGTGGCAGTCCTTTGTGTACCGTCAGGGAGAATCAGGAAGAGAAGGAAGAGCCGAAATCACAAGAACCTAGTGCAAGTCCTGAGAAAGTGTCAGGTTAGTATAATTATAATTATCTTTTTTTTTTGACTGGTTGGGGGACCGTATAGCGCGGAGCTAGTTTGCCTATGTATTTAATAGTATGTGAATGAACATCCATGAACTGATCCATGGCAACATTCCTGAAATTGTTAATTGCAATTTTAAGTGTTGATTTTATATGAAACTCGTACACAATAATTGAAAATATTTTCAAAACATGCTAAGTCGTCCCATTTCCAACGTGGGTCAGCTATACCGATGAAGTACCACGCTCTCATAGAATACAGTTTTTTTACAGTGGTAGAGCCACGTGGCAGCTTTTGCTGTCGCACGGATGGGCCGGCTCGAACCGGGGTGGTACCACGACCTCACAGAATACCAGCGTGAAGTAGAGGTTTACCTCTGCGTTTCGCTTGGTGAGTGCAGTTGGCCGGAGGCCCTTTTTACTGGAAATGAGGCATTCCATCTTAGTCCTCGCGGGTGACAACGCATCTGCATTTTGATTCGCAAACGAGGATAGATGTAGATGTCTATGGGCCGCAGCAACCACTTACCATCAGGTGGACTGTGTGCTCGTTTGTCACCCTTATCCTATAAAAAAAATACCAGTAAAACGTCGTTTCCAGTGAAACATAGTTCCCAGTAAAACGCTGACCGCCGTCACGGGGCGTACCGGGGAAGGATCACCCTTAATTTCTATTGGATATCTGTTTAATTTTACCCGATGGTATTGTGCCTTATTTGCCTGGGAGTATATCTGGTAGCGTGGTAAAGAAGAATGAGAAAATATTTCTTTTTCACATACATAGGTATGTGTTACTTCGTAAACTTTTGTTAAAGGAATGAAATTTGGGATAAAAGTATATATTCAAAATGAAAAAAAAAACTAGTTGCGTGAATAAAACAATTTTCCTTAACATCTAATAATAATGCTACATATCATCTTTATTTACTAGCCCTGTCCTCAGGGAAAGCATCTGTGGCTTTCTTATTTTAAAGTTGGTTACATGTGTGTCTGCAGGCTGCAGTAGAACTTACCTCTGATGACCTACTACCTCGTTTGCCATTCTAGTTTTATATAAAAGAATATCTGTTTAAAATATAAATATGATGGGATTTTTAGTTTCAGGTAAATCTTCCGGAAACGTGGCAACCATGGTTGAGAACAGCATTTACTGCGCGAAGGTGAAGGAGCTTCGAGCCAGAATCAACGAAGAACTTTTGAGTATCATGTGAGTTAAGGGCATCATTCTTATTATTTAACTAGCTAACTAACCCCCCCCCCCCCCCCAACTTCCATGGTTTCCCTAGGTCTAATATATTTTATGTATCTTTGAAAACCACACGATGTTGGACTGCCTACAATACAGATGATTGACGGCTCCGTGACGCAGTGGTTTATTTAGCAAAGAATCCTTGTGCAATAATTTATGTATGTAAACTGCCTCCACGATACAGTAGAAAATCCTAGTGAGGGGAAAACGTATTTAAAAAATATATGTGGATGGAATTTGAAGATCTGTCACAGTGTGTATGTGTGTGTAAAATAATGGAATTTAGCAGCTGGAATTAACCCAAACAATTCATGGGAGTTGATGAAAGTATGATATTTTACACGTGGTACAGCCACGCTTCAGTTATATTATGGTTGTAGCTCGCTTGTTACGATATACAAAGGGATCGAATCGGCTGGTGATCATTTTTTTTTATTAACCGATTTCAAAAAAGGAGGAGGTACTAATTTCGACTGTATGTTTTTTGATGTGTGTTACCTTTTTTCTAAGTGAAAATATTTTGATGATTCTTTTTCTATTTGGAAGTTGGTGCTTCTTATGTGGGCCCATAGAAATTTTATCAAGATCTGACCAATAGTTTTTGAGTTATCCTTAATAATGCGTATTTAATGGACTTCGACTACATTGATTATGTTCCCATTTTATCTATATTGAAGTCGGTTGTACAAAACTTTTAATTTTACCACTTTTATTATACTAATTCAGTTCACTTTGTGATCTTCAGCTACGTCACCACTTATCATCAGGTAGAAAGAGTAGTCAAGCACTGGTTTATAATAATTTAAATAAATGAAATAGCAACATAACACTGTTGTGTTACAGATAGACACCGATGTGATCCGTTTTACTGAATTTGTCCCGGAACGCTTACATGGGTTGTAATTTTTTTCTTTTCACTTAAAGTGCCACAGTGGAACAACAGAACTTAATCAACATAGATCCGGAGGACCTGAAGAAGATACAGAAGCGTTCATCGGAGTTTTCTTGTCGATTTAGCCGCATACATTTGTATCAGTTGCAGAGGCAGGTGAGTTGAGATAACTTTTTTTTTTATAGGAGAGGGAGCAAACGACCATGCGGCACACCTGATGGTAAGTGACTACTGCCGCCCATGAACAACTACAACACCAGGGGAATTGCAGATGCGTTGCCGGCCTTTTAAAAACGACTAGGCTCTTTTCTTGAAGGTCCCTAAGTCGTATCGGTCCGGAAAAATCGCTGGTGGTAATCGATTCCACAAGAAAGTTGTGCGTGGAAGAAAACTTCTTCTAAATCGTACAGTGGTGGACCGCCAATCATCCATATGGTATGGACGGTATCGCGAGTTTTGTCGCAATGTGCGATGGTGAAATTGAGCGGCTGGAATTAGTCCGAACAATTCCTCAGAGCACTCCCCGTGATAGATGCGAAAAAATACGGAAAGAGATGCAACATCTCTACGCAGTGCCAGTGAGTCAAGCCGATCGGAAAGAACTCGGTCGTTGACGATTCGAGCCGCTTTGCGTTGGCTGCGGTCAAGTGGAAGGAGCTGGCACTGGGGAGCCCCTGCCCAGAGATGGGGACAGTATTGCATGTGAGGCCGAACCTGCGCCTGCGGTTCTCTTCCAAGTGACCACGAAACTGCACGTGACTCGTTATGTCGACACCAAGGATTCCGATAATAAACTTTTTTTTTATAGGATAAGAGTAAACTGCCAAGTAACTTCTCACTGCTGGACACATACAGTGATATTTGAGAAGTATAATTAATAGAATCAGGCGTTACTTTGCGGAAATCCATTATATAAAAGCTTTTAGAAAAATTTACTTCGCAAATATCCGCGTTATAAAATAAAATGATGTGTCTTACCTAGTATGAAGAGCACCTCCCGCCCTCCTTCAATTGCGTGCACTATCCCCGTCACCACTAATCCCGGCACCGCTACTCCCAACACCACTACACTAGGCAAGACACACCACTGACGATAATACGACACTTGTTTCGCCTCTACACGAGGCATCCTTAGGTGATATAGACTCTACGGTGGCTAAAGCGGTTAGCGGATATTTGCGAAGTAAATTTTTCTAAAAGCTTTTATATTTGAGAAGTACATTTATTATGTACAATATGTTATAAGCAGCGCATTGACTCGCGTCAACCACATATAATTTTGAAGTGACTTTGTAATAATTATAATAGAAAGAGAACATACGGTAAAACAAAAATAAATAAAAAAGTACATAGTAAAATTATCATATCATCATTATTTCAGTCCTTCATTCGTATAGGGCCACGTTTCAAATCTGTATGTCAACACAATATGCTGAAAGTCGATGGATGCAGGTGGCTCAGGACCGTGCTTTGTGGCATTCCTAGGGGAGGCCTATCTGGCTGTAATGATGATGATGATGATGACCGTAATATTATTTCATCCATACTTAATTTAATTTCCTAAGTGAGTAAAAACAATTACGAACATGTTATAGAAATTTGAGTTTGAAAACAACATATGACACAAAAAAAGTTAGTTGAATTGACGAAACAAAAAAAAAAGAAGTATGAATATAAAAATATTGGCTCTCATATTATATCTCGTATATGCCAGATGTAAATTATCACAATGATATTATTTATAAAGCGCGTATGATCTATTACTTATTATGTGATCTGCAATCTGTGGTGATTACAGCGAATTGTTCGTATAGGATCTTCTTTCTGGATTTTTATTCATATGGATCCAAGTCCAGCTGTGAATTTTCAAAGATTTTGGAACGAAGTTCCTTATCGGATGGTATGAATTTGGCGCATGGGGGCTAGGCGAGAAAAAGTGTAAGAGTTTTCCATCATGACCCCTTCTGACGTAGTGTAGACGGCCTTGGCGGCTATAAGGAAGCGAGATGGAATAATATCCATCTCAATTTTCGCACTTCTTCTTATCTTACCACGAAAGAAATATTACTTTATTTTAAATGATGCTTTATTTTAATAGCCGCTAGTAATTCATTTATTTGTATTTGTTAATCATCAAATCAATTTTAACAGTGGTAGAGCCACACGGTAGCTTTTGCTGTCGCACGGATGGGCCGGCTCGAACCGGGGTAGTACCACGACCTCACAGAAAACCAGCGTGAAGTAGAGATTTACCTTTGCGTTTCGCTTGGTGAGTGCAGGTGGCCGGAGGCCCTTTTTACTGGAAATGAGGCATTCCATCTTAGTCCTCACGGGTGACAACGCATCTACATTTTGATTTGTAACAGAGGTTAGATGTGGATGTCTATGGACCGGCAACCACTTACCATCAGGTGGACTGTGTGCTCGTTTGTCACCCTTATCCTATAAAAAAAATCAATAATATAATAATAATATACTACGAAAGGAAATTCGTTCCAACCGAGTGTTCCACAACACCCACGCATGTTTTTATAGAATAAGGATGACAAACGAGCACACAGTCCATCTGATGGTAAGTGGATGCTATGGCCCATAGACATTTACATGTATCCCCGATTAAGAATCAAGATGCAGATGCAGAAAGGGTCTCCGGATCTCTACTCTCATCATACGAAACACAGCAGCATTAAGCTGATATTTTACGGTGGTATTCTGTAAGGGCGTGGTTCTACCCCGGTCGAGCCGATCCATTCTACCACGTAAAAATAAATCGATCACGTAACACGTAAAAATAATCGGTCGATAAAGACGAAGAAAAGAATAGGATAAATATACAACGTGCCGTATAGGCTATATTACAGGCTCGATAGAGTATTTAGGCTAGTTTTTAATTTTCAATGCAGATACAAGATCTGAAGCGGCATAGCAGTGCGGCTTCGTTGCCATTCGGGCAGCACACACAGTTGCAGGCGCAGATGGTGAGGACTGTGTCGCTCTATCAGAACCTGTGGCAGGCCTTCTGTGTGAGTATTTACTGGACTACTGCATGCCTTAAGCGCAAAACGCGTAGGTGTTCTACTGGCGCCTAAAAATCAAGATTCCAACGTTTTGTCGCATGAAATCGTATCTAACAAACATATTGTACATATAAATTATATAAAAAGTACATTGTCAGAAAGATAAATGATTATTGAACTTATTTTTTTTTAAATCGTAAAATTGCTATTTTTACATAAAAAAGCGGTTTTAGTGACATAAGGTGTAGATTTATCAAGTCCGCATGGAGGCGTAAACACGATAACTTTTGAAAATATTAATTGTTCAACTCAATCTATTTTTAAAACTCTTCATCTATCACGTGGGAAGCCATGGAATGTAAATGGAAGTTTAATTTTGTTTTGTTTAGTTATAATAAATTTTTTGTGTTTTGAGCAGCCTTGTATTAATTTATTTTACTAAATACACTTTGCCTCACTTCCGGCCACAGAGTACTTTTTTACTCCGGGCTCAGCCGCCGTCGTGAGTGGTCGTTTGCTTACAGCGGTTCGTGCTGAAAAATATCGATCGCTTTAGAAATACAAAATATTCCAAAAACCATATTTGATACATACTTGACCAAGGTCAGATATTATTATTATTTTTATAATCACATATTCTTTTTACAATATTTTGTCTCGCTAAAAGTACGCAGGATTTATATATAAATATACTTATACGTCTCGGACTTTATGGAGACTGAAGGTATGCTTCGATATCTGCTACTGGAACTCCTCGACGAGTAGAGCTAGGTGTGCCGAGATTTTGCTCATTGTGTTAGTTATGACGAGACCTTACCTCTGGACTTGATAGAGTGACCTGAAGATGTACGTTGGTGAATGCTACTGGAACTCCTCGAAGTCCAGTACACGTAGGTCTCATCATAACTAACATAAAGAGCACACGTTATGTTAGTTATGATGAGACCTACGTGGTAAAGCCAAGCTGCAGCTATATTTATAGTATAGTTGTAGCACGAATGGGTCGGCTAGACCGGCGAAGGACCACACTCTCACAAAATACCAGCGTAAAATAGCAGCTTAATACTGCTGTGTTTCGTATGGTGTTTGTAGAGAGAACCGGAGATCCTTTTTACTGGAAAAGAGGCATTCCATCTTAGTCCTCAAGGCTGACAACGCATCTGCATTTTGATTCTTAATTGAGAATAAATGTAGATGTCTATGGGTGTCAGCATCCACTTACCTTTAGGTGGACTGTGTGCTCGTTTGTTACCCTATTTCTATAAAAAAAAAGACCTCACCCCTACGATTATTAACAGGTGTGCCGATTTTGGGATCGTTTTGTTAGTTATGATGAGACCTTATCTCCGGACTTGAAAGAGTGATCTGTACCCCGAGCACGAACATTTTGCTCTATAGTACAGTTTACGAGACAGTTTAGTTTCAGTAAAATTTTGTATGGGAATTTGAACAGCGCTCCGTGAGCGTATTTGGAACTAAAATTTGGAAGCACGAACATCTAACACTGCGTTATGCGTAGCTATCGTTTGGTTTAAGTAATCGTAAGACGCAAAATGTGTGGATTTTGGCAGCACGAATCTATTTTTGACGTACGTTATCGTCTATCCACTGTAGAGAACTACGAAATTGTTCTCACCGACATTTTTACAGCGAGAACGCTATCGAGAAGTCTTAGTTTTAAGTTTCTCTGGGTTTTTCGTTGATGTAAGTTTAAAATATTTTTATTAAGAACAAATAGAATGAGATCCACGACTTTTTATTATTTTGCGTGACTACCAAAGTCGAGGAAAGAAGGCAAAGACGAGAATTAAGGTAATTAAAATGTACTATATTAAATTATTACAAATTAATATATTCTGTAAATACCCTTACCTTATTTATTTAATTGATTAATTATAAATTTATTTTAATAGCTGCTTAAATTAAATATATCTAAATAATTCCAGTGGTATTATTCAACGGATTTTTCTTCGCCGAACTGAAGAACCTATGAATATTTCTGACCGATACAGATTAAGTAAAATGCATTTAAATTCCCTTGCCTTGAACTTCGCTCTAAAATAAACTTGACCGGGAAACTTATTATATATAAATTCTAAAATAAAAGAATAAGCTTAGAGCTTAAGGTATAAAAAAAATAATGCTCAGAATTAATTTACCTGCTGTAGTTATTATGCACCTAACCTCATAATTTTTTCATTTATGTTTTAGGTTCTTTGTGTGTTATTATTTTACGCAACAGGCTCTTAAGAACGTTTAGTCGGTACGAGAAAGAATTTGGTCCAAACAAGTGTTAGCAAATATGTGTCTCAAGTTACGGAGGCACTTAACAGCCAATAAATAATAACCAATACCTTTATCAGGTTCCCCACTTCAAGGGCTGAGAGAGACGTCATAAAAGTATTTACTTACAATATTTTATTTTTAGTTTTATTAATGAATGAAAAATAGGTGGAGAGATGCGTAAACAGGGATCGCAATCTGTATTAAACACCCGAAAAATACGCCAAAATTATTATAGATATAGCTCGTTGTGTCCTACATAATATAGCTATGCTATTTGGCGTATCAGACCCAGAGGCAGTCGTGTACGGTAATAATTTAAATGATCACATGAGCAACCTGATTTATACATTATAAGAAGTAACAGTAGTCAGGGTTAATAAGAGGTCGTCCTATGAGAGGAATTGTTGTAGAGATAGACTTAGTGCGGTGTAATTCTTCTGTATGTAATTTGTGTTTATGCACATATTTAATTTTTATATTAAATCTAACAATGATTTATTTATTACTTTATTCATAATTTATATTAAATATTTTAAAATTTCGACCACTGCCAAGATCAAAAAAATATTAAGCAAATATAAATAAAAAGGATTATGTTAATATGTATTAAGGAATTTATGAATGGCAAATAACCCCTGGGAATAAGGTAGTTTCTACTAAGTTATTTTTAATACCACTTATAGTTAATTGTGTAACATAATTGTAAACAATTATTCTTCCTAAATCTTCCCTGGACACAGGTATTTTCCGAACCAGTGGTAAATTAAACATAAAAATGACCTTGAATAAGTACTATTTATAATGTATACTGGACAAGAAAAAATCCATTTCTATATCTATTGAATCCATTTTTTTAAATTAATTGATTCTCTATTGTGGTGTAGGCATTTATAACAAAAAGTTTGAATAATGTTTTGATTTGTTTTTGTTATTACGACTTTAGATTTTAAGTGTAGTCTATTTTTGCCGATATTAATATTAAGTTCAAATAAAAAAGAACATCAAAAATTTCAATGAGACATTTTATTAAAAACATGTACAATTATTATTATTTATATATTATTACACTGAGCTTGTACTTCAGCTCAGTATCATGTTGACAAAGTTCTCTGTAGTATCCTCTCTCGTTCTAATTATACAAATCCCTATCTTTCCTTATTATTATTCCTTATATTCTCCTCACTCAAAAAATATTCTTCTAATGATCTAAGTGGTTTCTTTTTGGCTTGTTGTGAGGTGGGTTGCCTGTGGAGGACAATTAGAGATTTCGGCGATGTGGTAGATTTTGGAGGTGTTTGGGATCTGGTTATTGTTAGGAATCTGGGATTGGATGGAGGTATAAATACTGGATCCTTGCTGCCGCCAGGAGTGTTCCAGTCCTCATCATCTGAAAAGATCAATTGAAAAACTTGAACTTTCTACATTACTTCCACAGATATTTCCTTTTTATATTGTTGAAAATATTTGAAAGTTAAAAGATGTAATGACTAATTTGAATTATAAGTACTTTATTATTATGATTTCTTTAATTTATAAAATAAACAGGACTCATGATTACACACTAGTATCACTTATATCATGAAATTTTAATAATTATTTTTTTACATTTAATAATTGCAATAGTTAATATACACAAAAGTAGTTGAAGACGTACCTATAGCGGGAATTTCAGATAGTACAATTATTAAATTTTCTGTTTGTGGCTTTCCGAGTATGGAATACTGTTTTATTAATTCCGGCAGATTATTCTACCTGTAAAATAATAAGATATTAGTCTTATTCTAAAGTTGTTATTCATATACATAAGTAATATCTTCTGAATAATATATTTTCACGGAGAAAGTACGAGTATGTATTAATAATTAATATTAAGATGTTAAAATTAAAGTTTTTACAGTGATTCTTACTAAAGTTCTATCTATGTTAAAGCAGCCTGTTCTCTGAGTATGTGAGACATATTTTTTCATATTAATTTAATTGTCTTTAAGGTTTTGCCCACTATCTTTTTAAATCACTCCACATCTTAAGCAAACCAAATAAAACGATAATGAACCCAAAATTCTCACTAAAGCCCTCTTGACTGATATTGAATGTTTTAGAAAAATAAGACTAGCACTTACTTTTCGCCACTTTTCTTCATTGCAAGACTCCAATTCATTGGCTGTTAAGTAAATCACATAGCTCCTTGCACTTTATAATACATCACTGTCGTCGTTCTGTGGTTTCGATAAATCACCGTTCCTTGGAAACAAACAATATTCATTATTTAACAGAATAAATCATTATCAATATACAATGAACACATAGACTAAAATACAATCAAAACTGTTGTCTCAATATAGTTAAGTACTTACTTTCCATTAACTCTACCATTATTGTAAAATGTGTGTGGCTAGTTCTTGACGACATTATTATAACATTTAGCAGGAATTAACTAAAACAAATTCAAAACACAAAAACTACTAAAACAACACGAAGCGGAGCGAAATCAAATGTTTATCTCAAAGATGTTTTATAGGTCAAATATCTTTGGTTAATCTTAAGAAATCCGCGTTCGGAAATCACAATTCATAAGAGGTGAAACATAGTTTTATAAACATAAAAAAAGTTTCTCCATATATAATTATATTAATAGTGTTTTGTCAAATAACTGTTTTACATTAATTAACACACTATTATTAATAAGTTTCATCACGTTTTCTTATATTTACGCACAATAAAAACTCCACAAATACAATGATAGCAATTTATAAACGTATCATTCATTTTCATTCGTTCGTTTTAATATTGAGTTCTAAGATTTGTTTACATTTAGTTACAATATAGTATCGAGTACACTTGAATAAAAGATAAGCGTTCGTGCTGCCGACGACTTTAGTGACAGTTTCGTAAAAGTTTTCGCTTAGTTTACTCTATACGAATTCTTGACGCAATTGTTTATTATTCGTGCTCGAGGTACTGAATGTGTACTTGCGTAGACTAGTTTGACATAAAATTATCGGAAAATTGGAAGTATAGTATAAGGTTATTAGTGAAAACTTGTGTGTATTTAAACTACTTTAAAAATTTAGGTATAATCATGTTATACGTAATTTTTTTAATGCGCTTAAGGCATGCACAATTGGATTTACCAATAGTTTTTTCTTCCAATTTTTCAATCTATTATTTGCATTATTCTTTAATTATCAGTAGGAATGACCATTTGTCTTTCTAATATTATACTTAAATTATTCGACTCCTCTTATATATTAACTAGCTGTTCCCCGCGACTTCGCCCGCGTGTAATTTAGGATTTAAATTGTTTTTGCGAGGAAACCTAATTATTTTTCTAAAATAATAGTAGCCTAAGTTACTCCTTATGACATCAGCTATCTGCCAGCGAAAGGCCCGTCAAAATCGCTCCAGCCGTTTCGGAGATTAGCCGGAACAAACAGACAGACAGACAGACGGACAGACAGACAAAAATTTAAAAAAGTGTATTTTCGTTATAAGTGCCGTTTATACTTTCATATGCATTTAGTAAAATGCTGTAATTTTGACATTACAAACAGACACTTCAGTTTTATTTATTTGTATAGACTAGGTAACGAATACAGTTCCTTTAGGAACTTCACCGCACGTGTACGCCACGGATCGATAGTCTTATCAGCAAATGACACAAATATGTAGTAGTATTATTTTATCTATACAAATAAATAAAATTGAAGTGTCTGTTTGTAATATCAAAACAACAGCTTCTTACTATTTGCATATGAAAGTATATACGGTACATATAACAAAAACACAATTTTTTAAATTTTTGTCTGTCTGCTTGTTCCGGCTAATCTCTGAAATGGCTGGACCGATTTTGATGGGATGTTCACTGGCAGACAGCTGAGGTTATAGGGAGTAACTGAGGCTACTTTAATTTTAGAATAATAATTAGGGTCTCGCGCAAAAAAATTAAAACCCTAAATTACACGCGGGTGAAGTCGCGGGGAACAGCTAGTTTCATATAATATAATCTTTCTAAGATTGAAGCGGGCTCTTGGCAAGTGGACTGTATAATTAAGAAACTGTGTTGGTTTGTATTGTCTTTACAATACGACTACTGTTTAAGTATGAAAGATGAGACAAAACTACAATGTTTATATTTATTATTTACAAATTGCGAAACTTAGAGAATGCGGCACTGTAATTAATTAATCAACTTAGTCTGGTACTGAGAGTGATTTTCTTTTTATTCTTCTCTGCAACTGTTCTGTGCCGCGAATATCGTCGAAGTTGTCGCGCGCGGAACATACGGATCGACGTGTAGCGGCACCTCTAGTCATCCGTAACAAATATTATTGCATAATAAACTAGTGAAATAATTTGTCAGCAGTCTATTCAGTTCAATCTGCTAAGTCAGTTTTAACCAATTCTAATGCGTACCACCATCTGTCTGCTATATTATCCCTTACCATCAGGAGAATAGTAGTCAATCACTGGTTTTTAAGTTTAAATCAATGTTCTGCAGGCGTTGCACAAGTGGTTCAGGCAGAGTTTGTGTACGGGCGCCGTGGTGCCGCTGTGCCGCTGCGCCGCGCGCCTGCCACGCGAGCTGCCCGCCTACCCCGCGACATCGGACCCCTACAACGACGTGAGTGGCACATACTGACCCTCGTCAGAGTCAAACATTGTCCCTCGCTTGCGTCACAACTATCCCTCTTTAGAGTCAAATTCTGTCCCTCGCTAACGTCATACACCATCCCTCGCCATAGTCAAACCATTGTACCTTGCTAACGTCACACACTATCCCTCGCTAACGTCACATTCACTATCCCTCGTTAACGTCACACACAACAGTCTCTCGTTAACGTCACACACACTGTCCCTCGCTAACGTCACACACACTATCCCTCGCTAACGTCATACACAGTGCCTGCTAACATCACAAACACTGTCCCTCGTTAACGTCACACAATTTCCGTCACTAACGTCACACACTGTCCCTCGCTAGTCACTCACACTGTCCCTCACTACTGTCACACACGCTGTCCCTCGGTAACGTTACACACTATCCCTCGCTAACGTCACACACTATCCTTCGTTAACGTCACACACTGTCCCTAGCTAACGTTACACACTATTCCTGCTAACGTCACACACTGTCCCTCGCTAATGTCACACACACTGTCCCACGCTAACGTCACACACACTTTTCCTCGCTAACGTCACACACTTTTCCTCGCTAACGTCACATACTATCCTTCGCTAACGTCACACATACTGTCCCTTGCTAACGTCACACAAACTGTCCCTCGATAACGTCACACACACTGTCTCCCACTAACGTCACATACTAACCTGCATCAGCGTCACACACTTAAAATTTTTTAAAAATAAATATTTATTGACAATGAATTAATTCACTCCACGATACAGGAGAAAATACTACTGTGGGGGTAACGTTTTTTTAAAAAAAAACATCATTCATTACTGTACAAAGCCTTTTCTAAGGAAGATTCTTCACTGGATCACACAAGCTGCAGGTAATATAAACCTTAATACGTGTACATGCACCTAGTTGCCCAGACTAAGGTCGACTATACAGGGGCCCATACATTATAGATTCGACGGACAACTAAGTGTGGGGCTCAAATGCCTATGCATATTTAATATATATGGATTAGGTACTTAATGCGACTTACCTGGTTCAGAAGCGAAGATGGACCACAAGGCTCGTTCAGGCGCTAGGTGTAGTGAATGTAAATAGTGTGTGAGAAGTGTATATATGTTTAACCTGAATTAGCCCTTTTTAATCAGCAGCAACCCTGACTCCAGCACCGCCACCCTATGTGGTATCCTCCAGCGGCGTCACCAATGGACAATTTCTTTCTTCAATTCACTATGTCAGTCTATCAACTTTATTGTACATTTAACTAACTTCAAAACTCAACTAAATCCCGTTAATTATAATCAAAAACATAACACGCGGCACGACTGATGAACGGTGGGTCAAAGTTCACTTCCGTTCACTCAGCAACAAATTATTTCGAGAATCGAACGCGACCTTCTAAGGCCAGTGATCACGCGACCTTGGTTTGTCTAAGGTTAGGTTGTCTAAGTATTGCAGTGAGTCTACTCAGACTCACTGCAATACTTAGACAACCTAATCCGAGGCGGTCTTCACGAAACACAATTTAAATAGCGAAGTAACACGCACAAATACTGAAAATCTAGACCATAAAACCAAAACTGGTCGCACGAAATCGTTGCCACGGTCACCACAAATACGCTACGTTGCGACGGCGCCGCTGCACTTAAGCTACTGTTTTCGCCCACGTGCGCCAAAACGCCGGGAGGCCGCATACCGCTGCCCCTTCCCTGCAGCGCGCGTGTCACCTCACACATCGGGCGATTCGCTAAGTCAACGCTATTGGATGGCGTTTCAAATAACCATTTTTGGGCCTAAACAATACGTTTCAAACCGTCCTCCGACTACTCTTGTAAACCACGTTTTGGCGTACATGCATTTTAAGAATACTTGATTAGGTTATAAGTATATTATATTGTTAACAGCGTATTTTTTAAATAAAATAAAATATTTATAGAATTTACTGCAAACTTGCGACCGGTTCGAGGAAACAGTAACCGGACACGGTGAAAGAGCAGACGAATTGATAAAAAGTCTCGAGGATGCTGTAAGTAAATATAAACCATCGCTTTTTTTTAGCATTATATAACATGCAGTTTTGTTTTTTTGCCGATTTGCGATTGTAAAATGTTATCATGAGGCGGTGGCGTAATGGATTACTTAACTCCATTTTGTCTCCATCACACCATTTTGTCCTGTGACTGTCGTAAGAAGCGATTAAGGGAAGTGCCAAAAAGTTTTCACGACTTCCTATAGGCCTATATGCAGTGTTATCATCTCCTTTACTCCCGGCTTAAAATAATCAGACCACTGACTCTATATATGGACTGGTTATGCACCGTGTTTATAATGAGGCGATTTGATTGTCGCCATTTTGGCGCTGACTCCAGAAGTGAAATATCTCAATACTGTAACAGTCAATTCGTCTCAAGTGTTTTAAGGCAGAATCCCACGACGTTGGAGATTAATGAGACTGATTTTATGGGCTGATGAAGGCGATAATACCCAGTCCACTCTACAATTTGTTCTCGGCTTTCTTATACATTAATGTGACGCACAAGCCGAGGAGAATCCACCTGATCTTAAGTGGCTGCAGTAGTCGCATAGACATCAACAACCAACTTAAAACATAGAAGGCGAGATGGAATTCTTCACATTCTGTAATTTCTCTCTTACTTCTCCATCTGGAACAAAAATAGGTAAGATAGTGGCTCTAGATAGTGGTTTGGCGGTTCCGTGCCCCAGTGGCTTAAGAGTTGCGGCGCTGAAGGCCGCGGACTCCAATCCCGCACGGAACAAGTATTTGCATGCCCTACAAATAACTGTTTCGGGTTTGGATGTTTACCCTTGTGAAATTTATGTGTGTAAACTGCTGCCGCGATTCACGAGAAAATCGTAATGTGTGTGTAACGTTTAGAAATTAATTAAAGAAACCTCATGGATAGAAAACGAGTTATATTACCTTGATAATACTGTCTGTAGTTGAGTCCACTGCTGAGTATTGCCATGGTAGCCACGATTGATTGGTGGATTGGCAAAATTTTAACGTGGTAGAGCCATGCTGCAGCTATATTAGTAGTGTAGTTGTAACACGAATGGGTCGGCTCGCCCGGGGAAGGACCACGCTCTCACAGAATGCCAGCGTAAAATATCAGCTTAACACTTCTGTGTTTCGTATGGTCAGTGTAGAGAACCGGAGACCCATTTTACTGGAAAAAAGGCATTCCATCTTAATCCTCACGGGTGACGACGCATCTGCATTTTTATTCGCAATCGAGGATAGATTTAGGTGTCTATGGGCCACAGCAACTACTTACCATCATGTGGACTATGTGCTCGATTGCCACCCTATCTTATAAAAAAAAAACGCAGTTTTTTTACTATGTTGAGTTGTAATCAGGAACATGCTGCTGCTGATTTCCAGCTTCAGTTTCCCTTCGTTGCCTCTTCCGATAACTGAACTGAACGCCTTAATAAAATTTAAAGGCAACTAGTTTTCGTTTGCGATTATATCGACCTATCTTTTGTGTTGTATCCATGCAAAAGACGTCCTTACTTAATTGTAAATGAGTTTAACGTTTTATTTAGAACTCTTCTACATATAGCCTTTTCTAAATAAGATTGCATTACAGTTATTTCGTAACAAATTTGGTTCTTTTCTACCGACTTCAAAAAGGAGCCGGTACTCAATTCGACTATATGTTTATTTTATGTGTAACACCTTATAAATTTTTACTGGGTGAACCGATTTCGATGATTCTTTTTTTTATTTGAAAGCTGCTGCTTTACATGTGGTTCCATATAATTGATTAAGGTCTGACCAATAGTTTTTGAGTTATTCTTAATAATTTATATTGAAATCGGTTGTACTAAATTTTTAATTTTAAATTATATTAGATTATTTTGACAAAAGCGAGTAAAATGAAATTTTTCATTAATTTGTTTCTAGAACAATCCATATGCCAAAAAGCCGAGCAAGAATATGGGTAAGAAAAATCCCAGCAGTGCCTATTTAAAACCCGGCACCAAATCAAGTAAGTTGGACATGGTTGATGATTTATTTAGATTTTATTTATTGAAGTGGGGGAGGGGGAGAGGGGTATTTGGCATTAAATCTTAAAATCTTTGTATGTCTGTATGCCCATCTGCCAAAGTCCCAAACTACCTACTAACTACTAAAATAAAACTAACCTGTGCCTAGGGGCTCCTGGCTCCCCCTCTTTGCTTAATTATAATTTAATGATATTATAAACACGATAGATTTCTTCTCAACCACGGTAGCTAAGGAGCATAAGCAGACTTTTTGCTAAGTGTTTACATCAAAATGACAGTCACTTTGGTAGGACATTACGTTGTAATCTATACAGCATTTCTATATAGCTACCACGGCCATCGATCACTATTAAACTAGATACACAATTTTTTTCACGTAATTCTAGTTGGAATAAATATACATTAATGTAAATTCAACCTTAATTGCATTGTCTAAAGTTGTATTCACAAGCTATGTACAAATTAAATGCGCACCCAAATGTTCGAGTAGGCGATCATTCGGTAAGGACATTTTTGTCACTGATTGTGATACACTGATCTTTTATTAGTGATCGATGACCACGACTCTTAGCAGTATGCAGCGCAATGTACTACAAAGTTGTTTTTATATATTTTTTTAATACAAAATGGTTGAGAAAAGATGACTCACGTGCACACCAGCACACCATGCTGCAGATATATCATGGTTGTAGCAAGAATCGATCGGCTCGACCGGGCAAGGACCACGCTCTCACCAATAGAATAGCTTTAGAATACCAGCTAAATAAGCAGCTCGATGCTGTTGTGTTTCGTAAGGTGAATGTAGAGTACCCGAGATCCTTTTTACTGAAAACGAGGCATTCCATCATAGTCCTCAGGAGTGTCAGGGCCAGGAGTAACAGGTTGTTATAATGTTGTGGTTTCTTTCAGAAGGTATAAATATCTACACTTGTTCGCAAAAATAGAACAGATAAGACACTTTGGGATCTTTCTTTCCGTTCCCTTCCCTTCCCGTCTTTGTCACTCTGGATTCATAAGGAATATCTTATGTATTTTGTTTTTCAGCGTCGAGAGCAGATGGCAAATTGTCCATGTACGCCCTGGATACGCTTCGAATCAATCTGAAAGCGAAGCCCTCAAGTACCAGGGATAACCTGTCGAGGTACTAAACTCTACTACTTAATAGCGCTCTATTCTCTATTCTAATAGCGAACATTGGGAGAAATAAAGATATTTATATTAAAACTAGCGATCCGTCCCGGCAACGCACGGGTGATTTCTGCATCTCGACAACAGCGCCACCTACCGAGTCCGTATGTGAATCTAAACCATCTAGGAACCCATTCAAATACACAAAAATTTCATCAAAATCTTTTTGTGTTTTAGCGAAACTAACAGGCAGCAATTGATTTATTTATGTAGATCCTCGCCTTTTGTCTACTGTAATATTCATGTAATATACATATAAACCTTACTCTTGAATAATTTTTTGTATAGGATAGGGTGACAAACGAGCACACGATCCACCTGATGGTAAGTGGTTGCTGTGGTCCATAGATATCTACATCTATCCTCGTTTGCGAATCAAAATGCAGATGCGTTGTCACCCGTGAGGACTAATATGGAATGCCTCGTTTCCAGTAAATAGGGTCTCCGGTTCTTTACACTCACCATACGAAACACAGAGCAGCATTAAGCTGCTATTTTACGCGGGTATTCTGTCAGAGCGTGGTCCTTTCCCGGTCGAGCCGACCCATTCGTGCTACAACTATACTACTGATATAGCTGCAGCATGGCTCTACCACGTAAAAATGAAAAGTTGGAAAAATTTACTTAGCCTATATCCGCTCAATATAATAAAATTATCTGTGTAATCTAGTTTGAAGAGAGGCTCTGTATTTAATTACGCTTTTAAGAAACCCGTTGGCTGACTCATACTTAGAAAAGTATATGTCTAGCTGTGGTCGTAAAACAAGTTGAGGGAGAAGTATTTATTAATAGATCCATCTCCTCACAGTGCAACATCCAAATTGCGCGGAACTGCCAGCAAAGCTCCCGAAAAGCGAGCTCCTGATAAAAGTAAAACGCCTAAATATCGAAGAAAATCTCCAGTGTAAGTAAACTGACATATAATAATCATAAAATAATATGATGGTAAAGAACTATTAAACCTAGGTTTACCTGGTGCTTTTTGGGTAAAGTCCGAATAATGATTAATGAATAACCATGACTTCTGTCAAAGATATGAAAGCACTTTTTAAGTAAGATCAGTACAGTACGTCCCCTAATAGCATTAGGTTGGTTTACGTTAACCATAACGTACTAGGTTGATCAATAAGTTTTTGGAATAGGTCACTTATCAATGAGTTATAGAAATGACGGCAGAGTCTGAAAGGGACGCCCTAGACTAAGATTTATCGACCAAATCGGCGATACATTGAAAATGGGCTAGATTAGGAGTACCCTTAACCGACGAGCGTGTATGCGTAAATATATGGATGTAAAGGAGGCGAGATAGGTGTGTCAGGATCGCGCCAAATGGAAGTCCGTAGTCTCTGCCTACCCCTCTGGGTGACAGGCGTGAGTGTTTGTATTATAGAAATGCTTTCTATTTTTTTTTCGAATCTTAAATTCGTCAGTAGCCAAGGCCAGAAAAAAAACTAAATTAAAAACTATACGCAATTTTTTTTACAAACTACATTTATAGGTAATTTGATTCGTGTGCAAAATGGAAAATCTCAAACTTCGTGCGGTTATTAAATATTTCTGCCTAAATTTTTTTCTACATAGAGTTTTTGAAGTACTGCAGTCTACTTTCGCATACTATTCTCCGCCTTATTCTGTAGTGGCATACTGGTGCGCTGAATTTAAAGGGTTGTTTATAGACGCCCGGTACTTGATTTTAATGTTTTTAGTTTAGGAAGCGTGTTAGGGTTAAGCTTGAACATTTTACACTGTTTTTGGATGTCGGAAATGTGTTTTGAATTAACTATGATAAAAATTCATTACACTAAATATTGCTTATAACGAAACGCAAATATGTCAATTTCATCTAGTATTATGAAGTAGACGTCCAGTACTTGATTTTAATTATGTTTTCAGTTTAGGAGGTTTGTCAGGGTTAAGCTTGAACCTTTTACACTGTTTATGGATTACGGAAATGTGTTTTGAATTAATTACGATAAAAATAAATTTTACTAAATATGTGGGTGAAGATGAGCTTGGGGGATGCAGAACAGCCTGCAATGACGACACTCGCTCCGGGCGGCCAACACCACCCGCAACGCAAGAAAACGTTAAAAAAAATGGAAGAAATTGTTAAGGTAGATCGACGTGTGACCATTCGTTATTTAACTGAGATTCTGAAGCTTTCGTTTTGGACAATTCGGTTTATTTTAACTCATACCTTGAAATTCAAAAAGGTGACCACGCGCTGCGTTCCTCGAAAGTTAACAGACGCCCAAAAAAAGTAAGAATTGATATTTTAAGGCTAAATTTAGCAATAATTGAAGAAGATACAGATTCTTTTTGCGCTCGTTTCGTAACCATAGATGAAACGTGGTTACACCGTTTTGATCTGAAGACGAACAACCAAAGCAAGCTGTGGAAAAAACCGTCTTCTCCGCCAGCCAAAAGATTCAAGATGTCTGCATCCGCTGAAATAATAATAACGTCTTCTTCTTGGATGCGGAAGGTGTAATAATGATCGACTATTTAACACTTTCACTATCCGTGTATTGCAGACACAACAGTAAAACAATAGCAACGACTTATATGTAGTGCACGGGACAGCGAAAGGGTTAAGTAACGGAGAGACAATAACCGGAGATTACTACGCATCATTAATCAAAATACTACGCAAAGTACTAAAGAATAAACAGCCCCTGCCCATCGACCTGATGTAGCAGGCGCTGCCTTCCGAACTACTGGATTCCAGTTGATGTAATACCCACCACATTCTTCGAATCTAGCTCCGAGTGATATTCATCTTTTTACTCACTTAAAAAGGGCTTACGTGGTATAAAATTCGACGGCGACGATGAGGTGGTGTGAGCTGTAGAGGCCTTTTTCAAGTCCCAGAATTAAGCATTTTTTCCCAAGGGAATTAACCAACTTGCAAATCGCTATTCTATGTGTTTTAGCTTAAAAGGCGATCCTAGAGTTTCATTGCGTTTCCAAAAACTCATTAATCAACCAGTATATAAATTGCACAAAGCCCAACATTCAAACCCGGCACAATTATTTTTAGACCATACAAATGCTTGTTCCGTGCGGGATTTAAACTCGCGATCTAATCGCGCGCCGCAAATCTGTCGACTGTTTTTGTTGTCTGAAACTGTTGTATAACTTTGTTTTTAATTTTATTGTATGTAATATATAAAGTTTTGTATACACAGTGCGGCGAGAGCACGTGCGCGGCGAGCTGAGGCCGACGTGCGCACGCTGGTCGAGGCCGTCACTGTAAGTAGCGCACCTATCTAATGTACCTCATGTACCTAACGCTACACACGTACGACACTTTACACACCTACCTAACGTACCTCATGTACCTAACGTTACACACGTACGACACTTTAAACACCTACCTAACGTACCTCATGTACCTAACGCTACACACGTACGACACTTTACACACCTACCTAACGTACCTCATGTACCTAACGTTACACACGTACGACAATTTACACACCTACCTAACGTACCTCATGTATCTAACGTTACACACGTACGACACTTTACACACCTACCTAACGTACCTCATGTACCTAACGCTACACACGTACGACACTTTACACACCTACCTAACGTACCTCATGTACCTAACGCTACACACGTACGACACTTTACACACCTACCTAACGTACCTCATGTACCTAACGTTACACACGTACGACAATTTACACACCTACCTAACGTACCTCATGTACCTAACGTTACACACGTACGACACTTTACACACCTACCTAACGTACCTCATGTACCTAACGCTACACACGTACGACACTTTACACACCTACCTAACGTACCTCATGTACCTAACGCTACACACGTACGACACTTTACACACCTACCTAACGTACCTCATGTACCTAACGTTACACACGTACGACACTTTACACACCTACCTAACGTACCTCATGTACCTAACGTTACACACGTACGACACTTTACACACCTACCTAACGTACCTCATGTACCTAACGCTACACACGTACGACACTTTACACACCTACCTAACGTACCTCATGTACCTAACGCTACACACGTACGACACTTTACACACCTACCTAACGTACCTCATGTACCTAACGCTACACACGTACGACACTTTGCACACCTACCTAACGTACCTCATGTACCTAACGCTACACACGTACGACACTTTACACACCTACCCAACGTACCTCATGTACCTAACGCTACATACCTAGGATGCTCTAGACATCAGCCTAATGTACCTCATGTAGCTAACGCTACATACGAACGATACACTACACTTCTACCTTAAGTACCTCATGTACCTAACGTTACATACGACCGATACTTTACACATTTACCTAACGTACATCATATACCTAACGCTACACACGTACGACACTTTACACACCTACCTAATGTACCTCATGTACCTAACGCTACACACGTACGACACTTTACACACCTACCTAACGTACCTCATGTACCTAACGATACACACCTACGACACTTTACACACCTACCTAACGTACCTCATGTACCTAACGCTACACACGTACGACACTTTACACACCCACCTAACGTACCTCATGTACCTAACGCTACACACGTACGACACTTTACACACCTACCTAACGTACCTCATCTACCTAACGCTACACACGTACGACACTTTACACACCTACCTAACGTACCTCATGTACGTAACGCTACACACGTACGACACTTTACACACCTACCTAACGTACCTCATGTACCTAACGCTACACACGTACGACACTTTACACACCTACCTAACCTACCTCATGTACCTAAAGCGCGGTGCCCACCTAAGTAACGTAACGCGTGATCTGACGCGTGATCTGACGCGTGATTTGACGCGTAACTTGTCACTCGCCTCAACATTCAAAGAGATTGTATGTCGTAGCGCCCATTAGCGTGGCGTGATACTGCATGACCTGACGTGCCATTCAGCTTGCTACTAGTGACGCATTGAAGTGGCGCGTAACATGTAACTTGCAGTGACTTGTCTATACAAAATGAAAGACGACCTAGCTTTTTTTCTTTTCATGAAAGGCCATGTATACAATATGATTGTTCTAGACCCGATTACATTAACAGGAATTCGCAAGATACTTCTTGCAACTTATAGTGACTTGCCTATGCAAAATATAATTCTAATTCCTTTATAGCATTGAAAGTACCACCACTTTTTAATTTTTTTCCTCAAAGCATGTACCCGAAATCTTTTGCTGGCACTTGGAATGTTTGAAATCTGTAGCATAGCATGGGCATGTTTATCTTCTTCAGACGACATTTTGGCTCAAACTGAATTCTGCGATATGCTATTGTTGCACAGGTTGACGCAAGCAGTGTCACCCGTGGTCACGTCAGAGTATCGTCAGAATCATGCTACAAGCCACGTCGAAATCATGTAGTTTAGGTGGGCGCCGCGGTTAACGCTACATACGACACGTTACACACCTACCTAACGTACCTCATGTACCTAACGCTACATACGTACGACACTTTACACACCTACCTAACGTACCTCGTGTACCTAACGCTCCACACGTACGACACTTTACACACCTACCTAATGTACCTCATGTACCTAACGGTACACACGTACGACACTTTACACACCTACCTAACGAACCTCATGTACCTAACGCTACAAACGTACGATGCTCTAGACATCAGCCTAATGTACCTCATGTAGCTAACGCTACATACGAACGATACACTACACTTCTACCTTAACCCTTAATTACTCGCGTGGGGTATATTTAACCCTACGGCGTATTTGAAGCGTCGTATCTCCGCCATTTTTAAAGTTACCTCCATGCCGTTCTTAGTAGCTGCCTAAATACCTCCCCCCGCCGCGAATCAGTCACGAGCGCCGCTCCGTGTCGTGTGGTTGTGTCAGGAGATCGTGTCTGGGGTATATATTGCCCCACGCGAGTATTCGTGCAACTTTTTTTGGACAAGTGAGTATTTTTATTTTTATTTTTTAATGTGCAGTACAGATACTAAATGGTTAGGTTTTTTTTACTTATCTTTGTTTTCTGTTCTTTTTTAGGTTATAACACCTAAAATGGCAAGTAAGCGTCTTTCTAACTACCAGATTCTTGAGTGTATATTAGAAGACGACGAAGAAAGCATCATAGATAGTCCCGATGAAGATGAGGGAGACAATGAAGTGATCCAGAGTGACCACAACTCAGAATCTGAAGAAAGTGCCAATGAAACCGAGTTAGAATGGAGTGATGACGATAATGAACCGCTGAGTAGACACGCAAGTAAAGATTCTGATAGCTTTTATTTATCAAAAAAGAAATGCACAAAGTGGGCAAAAGAGCCGCCGCGTACTAGCGTTCGAGTTCGTAGACACAATATTATGAGGGAAACACCAGGACCTAAGGGAGCAGCCAAGGAGATACATACAATGTCAGAAGCATTCTTTTGTATGTTTTCAATGGATACTGTCAATTTAGTACTGCAACAGACCAACGATTACATAAAATCGATACAAGGAAAATTTCAACGCGAACGTGATTGCAAATTCCTAGAATACGAAGAACTTTTGGCTTACCTAGGTTTGCTTTACATGTCTGGTGTGCTGCGTTCATCTCACTTGAACTTCAAAGATCTGTGGGCTACCGATGGAACAGGCATCGAGTTTTTTCAAAACACAATGTCATTCAACAGATTTCTTTTTATATCAAGATGTGTTCGTTTTGATGACAAAAATACTAGATCTGAAAGGCAAAAGACAGACAAACTAGCAGCAGTCAGAGAGTTCACTGATTTGATGAATAATAATTTCATCAATAATTACTCTGCATCTGAAAATGTCACCCTAGATGAACAATTACCTGCCTTTCGAGGAAGATTTTCTGGTGTTGTTTATATGCCCAACAAACCCACGAAGTACGGCATAAAGCATTATGCACTCGTAGACTCGGCAACATTTTATTTACTGAAATTTGAAATTTATGCTGGAGTACAACCTGAGGGTCCATATCGAATGCCTAATGATACAGTAAGTTTGGTAAAGCGCATGACAGAACCCATCTGGGGTACTGGTCGAAACGTTACGATGGACAACTGGTTCACTAGCGTCCCTCTTACAAATACGCTTCTAAAAGATCACCAGCTTACTATGGTTGGAACTATTCGCAAGAATAAGCCGGAAATTCCAACTTGCTTCCAGCCCAAACGAACACGAGCTGAGCATTCCAGTCTGTTTGGTTTCCAAGAAGACGTAACACTTTGCTCTTACGTTCCAAAAAAATCTAAAGCTGTACTGCTGATTTCGTCAATGCATCATGACAATAAAATAGTTGAAAGTGAAAAGAAGAAACCGGAAATTATTTTGTACTACAATCGCACGAAAGGTGGCGTAGATACCAACGACCAAATGTGTGCTAACTATAACGTCGGCAGACGTACAAAGAGATGGCCTATGGTTATATTTTATCACCTTCTCAACGTTGCTGGTATCAATGCATATGTCATTTATAAAAATAAAATTGACCACGGAATATCAAGAAGGGAGTTTTTGAAGCATCTTGCAGTTGATTTGGTAAAGGCTCGCCAACAAACTCGAGCAACTATACCACAACTGCCTAGGGCCGTACAAAAACGGCTAAAAAGAAATGCTCAAGTTCAGGATCCTAGCCCCACTTCCAGAGGTGGTCCATCGACAACTTATAAAAGGTGCCATATCTGTCCAAGGTCGAAGGATAAAAAAATAAGATTTATGTGTGCCAAATGCCACCAGCAAGTTTGTCACGACCATTCCACTATGATATGTGATAAATGTATTGATTAAAAAGTTCCTAAATTTAAAGTTTCATATCTTTAAAAGTTTTTAAGGATACTATTACAATTTAGAACAATGTTGCCTCTTTCAAATTTTTATAATAAATAAAAAGTATGTCATTAAAAATATGTCATTAAAAATATGTTTTATTGTACCTTTACAATTGGGGTTATATATTCCCCACGCGAGCGTAAGTGTAACTATATGGACGCGAGTAATTAAGGGTTAAGTACCTCATGTACCTAACGCTACATACGACCGATACTTTACACATCTACCTAACGTACATCATATACCTAACGCTACACACGTACGACACTTTACACACCTACCTAACGTACCTCATGTACCTAACGCTACATACATACGATGCTCTAGACATCAGCCTAATGTACCTCATGTAGCTAACGCTACATACGAACGATACACTACACTTCTACCTTAAGTACCTCATGTACCTAACACTACATACGACCGATACTTTACACATCTACCTAACGTACATCATATACCTAACGCTACACACGTACGACAATTTACACCTACCTAACGTACCTCATGTACCTAACGCTACACACGTACGACACTTTACACACCTACCTAACGTACCTCATGTACCTAACGCTACACACGTACGACACTACACACCTACTTAACGTACCTCATGTACCTAACGCTACACACGTACGACACTTTACACACCTACCTAACGTACCTCATGTACCTAACGCTCCACAAGTACGACACTACACACCTACCTAACGTACCTCATGTACCTAACGCTACACACGTACTACACTTTACACACATAAACGTGCCTCATGTACCTAACGCTACATACGTACGATGCTCTAGACATCAGCCTAATATACCTCATGTAGCTAACGCTACATACGAACGATACACTACACTTCTACCTTAAGTACCTCATGTACCTAACGCTACATACGACCGATACTTTACACATCTATCTAACGTACCTCATGTAGCTAACGCTACACACGTACGATACACTACACAACTACTTAACATACCTCATGTACGGTACACACGTACGATACACTACACAACTACTTAACATACCTCATGTACGGTACACACGTACGATACACTACACAACTACTTAACATACCTCATGTACGGTACACACGTACGATACACTACACAACTACTTAACATACCTCATGTACGGTACACACGTACGATACACTACACAACTACTTAACATACCTCATGTACGGTACACACGTACGATACACTACAAAACTACTTAACATACCTCATGTACGGTACACACGTACGATACACTACACAACTACTTAACATACCTCATGTACGGTACACACGTACGATACACTACACAACTACTTAACATACCTCATGTACGGTACACACGTACGATACACTACACAACTACTTAACATACCTCATGTACGGTACACACGTACGATACACTACACAACTACTTAACATACCTCATGTACGGTACACACGTACGATACACTACACAACTACTTAACATACCTCATGTAAGGTACACACGTACGATACACTACACAACTACTTAACATACCTCATGTACGGTACACACGTACGATACACTACACAACTACTTAACATACCTCATGTACGGTACACACGTACGATACACTACACAACTACTTAACATACCTCATGTACGGTACACACGTACGATACACTACACAACTACTTAACATACCTCATGTACGGTACACACGTACGATACACTACACAACTACTTAACATACCTCATGTACGGTACACACGTACGATACACTACACAACTACTTAACATACCTCATGTACGGTACACATGTACGATACACTACACAACTACTTAACATACCTCATGTACGGTACACACGTACGATACACTACACAACTACTTAACATACCTCATGTACGGTACACACGTACGATATACTACATACCTCTCTAACGTACCTCATGTAGCTAACGCTACACACTTACGATACATTACACACCTACCTAACGCACCTCATGAACCTAACGCTACACACGTACGATACACTGCCCGATATGATAACTTGCACTGTCTTAGCTTAATAAAAGCCTATTCACTCTTGTGTTGTAGACGCTCAGATTGTAATCGGACGAAAAAGCAGACGCCGGCAGATTATACCACTCCCTTACTGTACGCATTACGAAAGACAAATAAAACCGTTTAGTTTTAATGCGTGGAAATACAACAAATAGAATTGAATAGAATAGAATCATTTTTATTCAATATGTGTAGATTACAGTACATTATACTCATTGAAAGTCATTTTTAACTTTTACCACTGGTTCTCAAAAAATCTCTGTCCTGGGAAGAACCAGCAAGAAACCCAGCGGGACTTTCTTTTAAAGCACATTTTACAATATAATATTTTAGACATCTACATCTATCCTCAATTAAAAATTATAATGCAGATGCCGTGTCACCCCTGAGGATTAAGATGAAATGTTTTGTTTCCGATAAAAAAGTATTTCCGTTTCTCTACACTCACCATACGAAACACAGTGGCACGAAGCTGCTACTAAGTTAAATCTTGTACAATCTATATTATATCTTAAATTTCGTTGCAGTGCACTTCGAGTCATGTCAGTTTTGAAGCCAGTCCACAACGCTCCCCAAATCCAAAAGACCTAACTTACCGCAGTAAGGGAACCATCCAGAGCGGGAAAAGCAAGGAGACGACTCCCAGATCGAAACTCCAAGAAACTTCTCGGAAAAGCCAGAAAGTTCCAAACGTGCCCAAGAATTCGATTTGTGACGGAAATTCTACAGTAGAATCTTGTAGCGAATTGAGGAATGAGAAAGTAAACGTAGAAATTACGAAAAATTGTAAGGAGTCACCTAGAGCTCACGTGTCACTTAGACAAGATGGCGCTCAAAGCAGACGAAGTGAAACGGAAAAAGTTAAGGTCAGTGATAGTTTAGAACTACTTTTGTTCATGTAGATATTACTATTTAAACGGTTAAAATCGTTTTTTTATCCATTACGTTAATTTAAAACTCTTAAAATGTAAAAAGTCTTTTTACTTGTAAAAATTACTTTTAACGTAAAGGCGACTTTAAAGAACTGTAAAAAAAAAAAAAATATTTCACATAGTGAAGTCGGGGCTTTAATTATTCTATACAATGTCTCAGTAGCTTTTACCTTTTAGTAAAAGAAAAAATTACTCTATAATAGACTAAGAAATATCACAACATTAATGTCTTCTAAATATTTACATAAAAAAAAAACAGAGGCAGTCATAAAGACCGCTGACAGAAGTGAAAACTCAATGATATAGACTAGCTGCGTGTAGTGGACTTGTTCGAGCATGTCAAGGTCATTAGTGACGCCAACCTATAAGATTTTGCCCCACAAAAATCGCTCAACGCGGCTATAAAGAAGTTTCCACTTCAAAAATTTTATTCCCTAATTTGTCACTCCATTACTTTTATTTGCCAGCAATACCGACCCCTTGTTGGTATTTTTGGCGATTTTTGTTGGATTTTCTTCTACAAATTTATTTGAAACCACTCCTGATGTATAAGCTATTTAATAAAAAAAAGAATCCTCAAAATCAGTTTACTATTAAAAAAACATGCGCGAGTGTCGTGGAACACTCGGTTGTAACGATGTTACTTTCGTAGTATAGTATTATTATTGATAAACGTATTATATTATTGATTAACAAACTCAAATAAATGAATTACTAGCGTCAACGTCATTTAAAATAATATTTCTAACATGGCGGGATAAGAAAACGTGCGAGGGAGATGGATATTATTCTATCTCGCTCGCACTATAGAAAAAGTCGTGACGGAAAAATCTTACACATTCTTTCGCCCAGCCCCCATTCGCCCGCCACATTCGAACCGTGCGATAAGGAACTTCGTTTAGAAAAAAAAGAAAAAAGTTTGTGTGAAGTTCACACGCGGTATAAGTCAAATGTAATGAAAAATAAAACAAAAATATTTCAGATGATTTGATAATTCTCAACAGTAAGTGCGGCGCGGCATAAAATATTTTTTTTTATTAGATAATGGTGATAAACGAGCACACAGTCCACCTGATGGTAAGTGGTTGCTGTGGCCCATAGATATGTACATCTACCTTCGATTACGAATCAAAATGCATATACGTTGGCACTCGTGAGGACTAAGATGGAATGCCTCGTTTCCAGTAAAAAGGGTCTCCGGATCTCTATACTCACCATATAAAACACAGCAGCGTTAAGCTGCTATTTTACGCTGGTATTCTGTGAGAGCGCGGTCCTTCCCCGATCGAGCCGACCCATTCGTGCTACAATCATAATATAACTGCAGCATGGCTCTACCACGTATGTAAATATAAGTTAAAAGTTTAATTTTATAGCAAAAAAATGTTACAATCCTTATTTTTAAAACATGTGAGCCACAGAATCCACTTACAAGTATGTAGACTGTATGCTCGCTTGTCACCCTTATTCTATAAAAAAAAATTTAGTGCATTAATTAAATCAAAATACTATTTTCTTTCGACTAAAATTGTTTTGTATTAGTGACGTCTACTTCATATAGGTAGTCATTTTAGTCAAAAATTGATTCGACTCTCGAGGTGGTCCATAAATCGGTAAGATATGAAATCGTGGATGTTGGTTTGGATATGATAATTTTATTCAGTATCATTAATTTAACAGTTAAAAGTAATAACCATCTTTAAAGCACCGCACACAGAAAAGACCAAGATAATACTTTTTTATCCTGTACTAGATGTGCCCGGCAGTTTCACCCGCGTATATCGCGCGTCTGAGCCGCGCAACATTTCGCCTTGTATAGGCGAGTCGATCGCGTGCCAAGCCGAGTGTTGAATTATTGTAATTTTTTTATTATCTATTAAACTATGCGTTAAAATAACATGCTACAAAAAGCAAAGTTTATCCTCATGAACTGAAGCTTATGTTCATAAGGATTAATATAGGATGCCTAATAACGCTCATAAATCACTTTTTATTTTTAATCTTTTTTTTCACAAATCACTTTATTGTGACTTATATATAAGAAATAGACCTATGGTATCCTGGATTTTTTTTAGATGAAGGAAAGATCTATATTTTTGTAATACGTTGTATTTACGTATCTATAATTATTACGCCAGCACACGCGGATGAAGACGTTCCTGAGCGTTTTTTCTTCCGACTTGCTTAACGGAATTTAATATTTAAGACTAGCTGAGAGGTGTAGCCTTATGCTAGATAGCCTATACTATTCCTCATGAATCTGGTTATCATACACAAAAATAATTTATTAAATCGGACTGACAATTCCGGAGATTGGAAAAAAAATTCTTTCGCTTTATTATCTTTATATATAAAAATTACGTGTCACATTGTTTGTCCGCGATGAACGCCTAAAGTACTGAACTGATTTCAATGAAATGTTGCATGTATGCAGTTTGGTCCAACTTTAGAGGTAGTATAGTTTTTATCCCGATAAGTGATCCTCAATTTTTTTTATTGTGAATTTAAGGATTTTTTTAAGACACATGGTCGTCGGAAAGGGCAGAACAACGTCTACCTCAGGTCAGCTAGTACTACTATATAGTAGTATCTCTTTCACACGTAGGCTAAATTATATAAATGTATGATTGTTTCCTTTTAGTGTCACTTTTTCGATTTCATCGCCTTTCAGATCACAACGATACTAAAAAAAGTTTCACTTCAAAAAGAACATACAGTGGAATTGTAAACCGCCTTTTTTTGGACGGCTAAAATACATACCATATCTGTCTTCAGGGTCGACAACAAAGATTACGATCTCTAAGAATCACAGCATTCACTTACTGTCAGGAGGACTGTGTACTTGTTTGTCACTCTTCATCATCATTATCACCATTACAGCCCTTCACAAGTTCACTGCTGAACATAGGCCTCCCCCAAGGAATACCACAAAACACGGTCCTGAGCCACCTGTATCCATCGACTTCCTGCATGTTTTACCAGGTCGTCACTCCATCTAGCGGGGGGACGCCCTACACTTCGCCTACCGGTATGAGGCTATCACTCGAGGACCCTTCATCCCCATCGATAGTCGGTTCTTCGAGCTATATGGTCGGCCCATTGCCACTTCAGCTTACTAATCCGTTGGGCTATGTCGGTTACTCTGGTTCTACTGCGGATATCCTCATTTCTAAGTTTATCACGCATAGAAATCCCGAGCATGGCCCTTCCAATGCTCACTTCTACAAGTTTTATTTTTTATTTGGGTGAGTCTAATGGCCAAATAAACGTTACTCAATTTTAAGATGTTAAGTCTCGTGTTGTCACAGTCACTTTTACTTAAAATGATAGAGACAGCACGACACTTAACGGCATCTTAAAATTGGGGAGTGTTTGAGTATTTGGGCATCAGAAGTCTAATTAAATTGCATTTGCAATTGTATCCATCGCCTTCCTGCATCTCTTAGAATTCGCTTACCGGTACGAGACTGCAACTCGAGAACATTTCTCTCTTAACCGTTGTCGATTTTTCGAACTATATGGCCAGTTCATTGCCACTTCAGGTTATTGATCCGTTAGGCTATATTAATCTATCACGTAGAGAAACACCGAGCATTGTTGCTCTGCCAACGTGAGGATTAAGCTTGCTGAGTGACTTTGAGCCTCCTCATACGGCCAGCAGTGAAGGATTACGTCTCATATCCATATATTCACTGATATTTTCTATAATTCACTGAACGCGTACTGGTTGTACATTCTTGAGTGTACATTATTTCTCAATTAATTTTTTTACATATACTTGTTTGTCATTAATGACGGCATTACGTTTAGGAAAGGAAGTCAATCGCTGAACATGGCCTGATGGACAAGAGGGGGTTGGCATTTAATTTAAATAAAGAACATGAACGGTTAAAAACAAAAGTGCTTTATTGAAAACGCAAGTTTTCGTGAAGCGTAAAAAATGTAGAATCTAGCAATATAATATTTAATATAGCAATCCTTGCGACCGAAACACGTACACGGCGTCGCGGTCACTTCGCATAAATTATTAAAAACTTTATTTACAAAAAAAAAAAATGTCTTTAAAGCGACCACTTGTTGTGTATAAAAATATATACTATGTTAGCGAAATCCCCATTTCTCTATGATAGACGTAAAATATATCCAAAATATGTTTTTATTTGTTGAGAGACGTCAAGGGATTCAGACAAATTGGGACCTTAAAAGAATCCCATAAACAACATATTTAAATGTAAAGCTTAACATTGTCATCGTGCGTGCTGTATGTACTTTTAGTGCACTTATTTTATAATAAATAGACATCGGTAAATATATCGATGGGTGATTATATGTCGGTTTGTCAGGTGCGTCTACGCGCATCTGGTGCAGAGAGGCTTGTTGTCCATTACCGAGAACGTGGAGTCTGTTACCGGGTTTCTGCATTTCTGAAATAGATATAAAGCGTCATTTAGATTGTATAAAGTACAGAAATTTCATCAAGATTAGAGACTTAACCTTTTTGTTCATCAATAAAAATGAGAAGTTGCTGTTGTGTTGGCGGCGTAAGAAAATCCATCGCACCATTTCGTCCCGTAGGTATCGTAAGAGTGGACTATGGGTTTACCAAAAAGATTCTTATGGTTTCCAATAGATGGCGTTATAATAAATAATCTTAGTTTAAGCCAGATGTAAAATAGTCAAACCGTTGACGGATAGCACCGTGCGATCGGCAAACAGTATACAGTATACAGTGTAACATTGAGTTATATGTACTACGTACTAGAGAAGCTATTTCAAACAAAAATTGTGCGCTACTCTGTCTTCGCGCATGCGCGGGTGATAGTAGAGTTGCGCATGCGCGAAGACTTTAATTTAATGTAAAATAAGATATTAATATAAAATAAATATAAGAATTTAATATAAAATACTCTTATTTTAATTTAAAAACCATATTTCTAAATAAAACGTAATAATTATTATTTTATGGAATTAACAAATCTTCAATTTACGCAATATTTAGTTTAGTGTATGGATTGCAGTACAGTTCAGTTGAACATAGTTAATGTTCGGAATGCGAAATCTAGTACGTAGTATATATATATATCGATGCAGTGTAATATATACCTATATGAACGTGTGCTGCTTGTTAGGACTGGTCTGCTCGAATCTGCAATGCATTTATTCGTTTTTTTTTTGCTCTTTTTTGTGTGTTACTTTATTGCAGACCACGCTATGATTCATCTATTTTATTTTTGATTAAGATTGCTGTATCATAGATTTTTTTGAAATGACGAAAGCAGGATAAATGCCGTGTTTCTTTCGTGGTTTCTTCTCCGGATAGAGGAACGTCATTTTGAAACCGTTGTAGATTAAAATACGTACAGCAAAGGAGTGGAATAATTTTCCAACCATTTTCTTTCCTTTCGAATACAATGTGGGTTTCTTCAAGGCCAATGTTGCCTTGAAGAAACCATTTTAAAGACTTTTGCTTAGTGCTTTCAAATTTCGTTGACAAAGTATGCACATAAATAATGACATCGTTTTTACATTCACATTAAATGAAATCAATGTTAGATTGTCTAAAACAACGTTCGCTGTTTACAAAACAAGAAACTAGTCTTTTCGGCCTCTCACAGTCATCTAAAGGAGTTACGGAGAATTGAGTGTAACTTAATGCGCAATGTATTAGTACCGTAGGTCCCTACGTAGTGTAGTCTAGTATAGGTGATAGTAGCGAATGTTTGGTATAAACTAATAGTATAGTTGGTCGTAGCGTGTGTTTGGCATAAAGTAATAGTATAGTTGATAGTAGCGATTTTTTTATAGGATAAGGGTGACAAACGAGCACACAGTCCACCTGATGGTAAGTGGTTGCTGCGGCCCATAGACATCTACATCTATCCTCTATTCCAAATCAAAATGTAGATGCGTTGTCACCCGTGAGGACTAAGATGGAATGCCTCATTTCCAGTAAAAAGGGCCTCCGGCCACCTGCACTCACCAAGCGAAACGCAGAGGTAAACCTCTACTTCACGCTGGTTTTCTGTGAGGTGGTGGTACCACCCCGGTTCGAGCCGGCCCATCCGTGCGACAGCAGAAGTTGCCGGGTGGCTCTACCACTGTCAATACTACCACTGTTTGGTATAAAGTAATAGTATAGGTGATAGTAGCGGGTGTTTGGTATAAAGTAATAGCTTAGGTGATAGTAGATAGATAGCGTGTGCTCACATTGCAAGTGAAGCACTTGGCGTGCCACTTGGCGTCAAGCGCGATGATGGCCTTGTCCACGATGGGTTGGCCGCAACCCGCACACCGCGCCGCGAACTTGTCCGCGTAACACGACGAGCAGTACGGCCGCCCGGCCTGCGGACACGACATATTATAGTTTAAAGAAGAAAGAAAGAACATATTTAGTTATTGCTCCAACTATCAATTTTACAAACAGAAAACACGTAATATACAGGGTATTTTTGGAACGCCCTGAAAACGAAGACAGACGACAGTACCAACTATACCTTTGATGATGGGTGAAATATAAAATCGATCCTGATGAAAAAAAAACATCTTTTCACAACGTTTTATTAGCTTTATTAATTCTCTATCGTTTTAGTACAGCTAAATAAAACGATAATTTATAAAAAATCATGAAAATACTTAAACAAAACCAGCAGTGAAATTACTGAATTACAATCAGCTGACTAGGGGTCAATGTAAGCGCAAACGTAACCTAACTTATCTACTTAACCTACTATTTTGCCACTGTGCTTGTTTCCACGTAGCCACTTTAATCCTAATTTACAGGTTAAATAACCCAAATAACTGGTTCGATTCCTCGCTAATGAAAAAATACTTAAATGAAATGTAACCAAGGTTAGAGTCATGCATTTTTATTCATCGTGTAGGTATGTTTATTCTCATGTATTCAGTTATGTACCTATTCAGATTAGTTCAGTACTAAGTTATTTAAAAAAAATAGTTATGAAACAGCTTACCGCTTTAAATCCTCTGTGCTCTTATGAGATGCGGCTCAAATTGTGCTCCATTCATTTCAAGGCAGATTTGGGCTCGGTGTTGCGTCTCCTCATACAGGCGGGGCATCATCGTGTGGTCTTCGACACAGTCCGTACGTAGTTTGTCGAAAACATCCACAATCCTTTGGCGCATTTCATCAGCACTATCACACTCACGATTAAAAACCCTTTCTTTCACATACCCCACAGAAAGAAGTCTAACGGGGTCAGATCTGGTGAGCGAGGTGGCCAAGCGTGTGGCCCTAGTCCGCCAAATCCAGCGATCATCAAATAATTCGGTGAGGCGCTCACGGACGAACCTCACGACATGTGGAGGTGCACCATCATGCTGAAACCATGTGCGGCGATATTCAGCCAACGATAGGTCGTCTAAAATGTCAACCAACTGTTCATTTATAAAGTTTAGGTATCGCTGTCCGTTAAGTCGCTGTGGCAGAAACACTGGTCCTAGTATGCGATACTTAAATAAACCTGCCCATACGTTAACCGACCATCGGGTTTGGTGCCCGGTTTGTCGAACAGCGTGCGGGTTAACCTCTGAATACACGTGTGTATTTCTTCGGTTCCACAGGCCGTTTCTGGTAAATGTCGACTCATCCGTCCAGATAATGTGCTCAATGGAACTAGGCACACGTTGTTGCTGGTCTAATAACCAACGGCAGAAAACTCGTCTCTCTCGAACTAAAGCTTGCACTTTGTGCAATTTGTATGGGCGCATTCGGTTACGCTTCAACACTTTGTGCACTGCACAGACTTGTTCCATCCTGACGTCTTAACAATTTAGCGATACTTCGTGTACCTAGGTTCAGATACCTAACATGTTGCCGTATTCACGAGCACTATAAACGTACGCGTTAGGTATTATTAAAACAAAAAAGAAACAAAAAAACGTAACAACAAGAATAATACCAACACGTAATCACAAGTAATAACAATAAGAATTTAATAAACAAAACGATTGAACTGTCGCTCGCGCACGCGTGTACAAAATCAACACGGAACTGTCTCAAAAACTAAAATTAATAACGAACCCCGCCAAAACTGAATCCTACTGCGTCACAGCGTGAGGCAACACCAGCCGGCCAGGTTAGGCATTGTTTCGCACCGAGCTAGTACAGGTCGACAGTGGAGGGAGTGTGGGTACAGTCGCGTTCTAAAGTACTACATGGTATTGGGCTATTGTTTTATAATATTATAGTAATTAATTGTTTTATTGTAGAATCACAATAGGTGTTTTACTAGCTACTTAGAACTTTGGAAGAGGTTGGAATTAAAAATGGATAATGTTTACTTGAGTATTATTTGTTATTTCTATTGTAAAGTATAAAGTAGTTTGTAACAAGAAAACTTAAGCTAAGGGTGACACGCCGTCCATTATGTCGTTTGGGTCACATGGAGGCCAGATGTCGATGGTGTGTTGGTGTTACTGGATGTTACTTCATCATCACTTTCATCTTCGCTTGAGCTTCCGTCATCAGGTCGATTACATGGTAATTTTTTCGGTATTCTTCCACAACACTTAACTTTTCTGCACAATTTTCCCCATTCACCTTCTCCTATCATATTTACCTTTTCGTTCACTAGTTCAGTCATAAAACAATAGATATAAATAATTTTTCTTTCCTTCCTTTTTAAAACCATCGTCGCTAGTCGCAAAGTAAGCTGTGTATGCGACTGTATTTTGGGAGCGAACAAAGCGCGGGAACCAATAGCATGCGAGCACAGTAATACTGGCGGATTGTTCCCCCGTCGCGGCCCCTTCGTACCAGTCACTCATAAATCGCTCACTGCCCAGGTTCAAGGCCAGCGTTCTTATTTCAGCGTTCGCGCGTACATTGACCTCTAGTCAGCTGATTGCAATTCAGTAATTTCACTGCTGGTTTTATGTTTCAGTATTTTCATGATTTTTTTTTATGAAATTATCGTTTCATTTAGCTGTACTAACATGATGGAGCATGAATAAATCTAATAAAACGTTGTGAAAATATGATTTGTTTTTTCATCTGTAACGATTTTATATTTCACCTATCATCAAGGTATAATTGGTACTGTCGTCTGTCTTCGTTTTTGGGGAGCGTTACAAAAATACCCTGTATCAATAATTTTTACGTGTTTTTTACAGGGTGGTTACAGAATAAGGGTAAATGAGCACACAGTCAACCTGATGGTAAGTGGATACTGTGGCCCATAGACATCTACATCTATTCTCGATTAAGAATCAAAATGTTGTCACCCCTGATTACTAAGGTGGAGCTATGCTGCAGCTATGTCATGGTTGTAGCACTCTTATTCTATAAAACAAATAGTTTAAGCTATCTCAGTACAGTATTGGAGTCATACCTGCTCCATAAAACCGCCTCCGCCGAGCTCCTTCCTGCAGCCGCCGCAGACGAAGTGGTGCGAGTGCCACGACACGCCCAGCGCTTGGATGACGCGCTGCAATAAAATACAACAGTTACATTAACTTACATATAGAAAATTTACTTTTTAAAGCAATTACTACACATATATTTGCAGAGGATAGGGAAAAGAACCTAGATTCAGGGGGACAGATCGATATTAGAGGTCAATTACTTGTGACGTGGCGGGATCACATTGGATCATCGATCACCAATAAAAAAGTAGGTACACAATCGCTTGCAAAAGTTCTCTAGTCGACAGTTTATGTCGCCTATTGTTTTGACGTAATTCTGGTTGAAATAAATATACATTAAATTAAATTCAACTTTAAATGCATAGCCTAAAGTTGTATTGTCAAAGGTACGTACAGATTAAGTGCACCCAAATGTTCGAGTGGGTGCTCATTCGGTAAGGACATTTTTTGTCACTGATTGTGTATCCAGTTTTGTATTAGTGATCGATGGTCTGGGTAGATATTTCCTTAGTAGGTTTTTTGCCGCTCGTGTGGATAACCAGTATGGTTGTTAGACATATTAGTCAGATTTGTCTATGACTATGTTTTCCTAGATTCTTATTTCTTACGATAACCAGTGGACAAAATTGGGTGATGGATTGGACGGTGGCAATCTCATCACGCTGTAATATATCACCAGCAATTAACAAATGCCGTGTAGTGGCGGTGTAAGAATATCGACAAACCCATGTTCTGCGTCTTGAGTGTTTCGTTAGAGGTGACAGAGAGAAAATGAAACAGGCGATGGGCAGCATCATATTCTTGATAACAACTCAAAATAATAAAAATTTTCGGTTGCCAACCCTCTCGCCAAGCATGGCAACTATGGCAAAATCCCCCCACGAGGCAATCTTTGAGAGAGGCCTATCTTATATATTATCAGCAATATACTTTTATAGGCTATAATGGATGGATTAATTATCAAATTCCGATAGATTGGTAACCATAGATGTAAATGCCATAGAAAGTACTTTTAAAATTTATTTATTTTTTGTTCATCATCATCATCATTATCATCATTACAGCACTTCACAAGTCCACTGTTGAACATAGGCCTCCCCCAAGGAATGCCACAAAGCACGTCCTGAGTCACCTGCATCCATCGACGAAATACAATTGGATTGTCTGTGTGCAATATCAAAAGAACTACCTTCTATTAACCTCGAGGGGGTTATTTGCATCCTATTAGGGTATGAATATCCATTATTTAAAAAAAAATATCTGTCTGTCTGTGTAAGTTAATTTCAAGGATGCTAATCTGATTGTGAAGAAACTTCACGCACACATAGAGAACAATACCAGGAATTATCTAGGCCAGCTAAAGAAATCCTGCATGTTTCTCAAATTAAATACTAGTACATTTTATTTTAAAAACATGCAGAACTTTTTGTCAAATTAAAAAATCCTAAAACCACTATTACTATATTTACTTTTATTAAGTTCTCTGTGAATGAAGTCGCGGGATAAAGCTATTATATAAACGGCGCCCATTGCATTGTTTATTTGCAAACGAATGTTTGTCTCGTCGCGAACGATTACATCATCGAAAGCTGTATGAATGATTAAAAGCTTGTTACGTTTCCCTTGTGACAGACATCACGTCCTTGCTAAAGGAATATAAAAATAGCCTTGAGTAGGGTTGCTCTGCATTACGTGTGAATTTCAGGACATGATGCAGCTCGAGAAATTTTTAAAAAAATCTTCCGGAAATATAGAAAAAACAATACTAAATAATTGAGAGAGTAAAACTCCAAGGAAAGGTCACTGAACCTTTTGTGTCGGATGTGATTTTACGATATGTGACCCGGTATATATATTAGTTAGTAGTTAATTAGTTAAGAAGTTAGTTAGAATGGCCTACCTATTTAGTTTTGTGGTAAATTATTAGTTACGCCCGTTTCTTTTTGGGTTACTATTTGTTGAATTACTAGCGAGAAAGGACATTGACCTTGTTTCGCAGTGGTAATAGTCCACTGCTTGTAATGAGCTCTCAGGCCCTCAGCTCACTCAAAGGAATGGGTAATGGAGATTTGCCATAAGCACCTCGCTTGATACAGCATTAAACTGTTTGTGGGCTTATTAATACGTTGATAAAGTTTTGTCTCTTTCGATTACAATGGACAAATACATTTCTTCTTTTTCCTTAGCTCGTAAAAGTCCACTGCTGGATATAAATTAACGTTGTAGGGAGGGATTTGACCTGCACGCTTGGAAGAAGTGAGGATCGTAGTATCACACGTATTTTATCATGGACGTTGCCATCCGTCGGCGTCATCTAAGTATTTTACGTCTATGAGCGTTATCCGCCATATATCGCAAGCCATAACATTCTCTGTCTGTGTGTTTGTTCCGGCTAATCTTCGAAACAGCTGGACCGATTTTGACGGGTTTTTACTGGCACATAGCTGATGTTATAAGGAGTAACTAAGTCTACTTTAATTTCAGTAAAAGAATTAGGGTTCCGCGCAAAAAATAATTAAAACCCATGAAATCCAATCGTAACAAATTATATAAACACAGCTATATTTTATATAATAGGCTGTAAAGTTACCGTTACAGCCTATTAAAGTCCACTGCTGAACATTGGCCTCCCCGATAGATTGCCTTATAGGAGGGATATTGGCCATGGTTGCCACGCTTGGCAAATGGGTTGGCGACCACAGTATTTAATTTTAGTCGTTATTAGGAAGACGCTGTTACCTATCTCTTGATTTTTTCCCTCTGTCGCCTCTTACCGCACCCACGGGATGATATGAGATAGTGGATAGTCTTACACCGCCACCGCACGGTAAACAAAAAAAGTTCTAAAATAGTCTAGACTTTTTTATCTGGATACTTGAACGATTTGTCCCACAACATCCTGAAGGCTGGTGAAACTAAGCAAGCGGTCACACTGATATACTTATCACGGGTGCACGGATGAGCGGACTTTGATTTTGTTCATAAACAAGTGATGTCATCGCGTTGGTGACAATGGTGTCTATGTGCACGCGGAGCTACTGCTGCCTAGGCATGAACTTTGATATAACTATACCTACTGCTCGTTCGTTATAACTGAACATAGGAGCAATTTTGTTCGCGCTTTAATTTAGTACGTAGGGAGGTTTACTGATATCTTTTTTATAGAATTAGGGTGACAAACGAGCACACAGTCCACCTGATGGTAAGTGGTTGCTGTGACCCATAGACATCTACATTTATCCTCAATAAAGAATCAAAATGCAGATGCGTCGTCACCCGTGAAGATTAAGATTGAATGCCTCTTTTCCAGTAAAAACGGTCTCCGGTTCTCTACACTCATCATACGAAACACAGCAGTGTTAAGCTGCTATTTGACGCTGGTATTCTGTGAGAGCGTGGTCCTTCCCCGGTCGAGCCGACCCATTCGTGCTACAACAATACTACTAATATAGCTACAGCGTGGGTCTACTACGCTGATCTATCTACATCTTATGATAGTTTATATACTAGACCTCTTGAGATGGGGTAGTGCTGGAAATTAAATATAAGATCGTATATTTTAGTTCACTTAAAAAAAAGTAGGAGGTTCTAAATTCGACTGTATTTTTTGTGTGGATGGTACGCGATATTTTCGCCAATGGCAAACCACTTTTAATGCTCTGTTTTTGTTAAGTAGGCTATAATTCTAGGGTGGTCCCATACCGTTACCGTTACAGTATATTAAAGTCCACTGCTGAACATAGACCTCCCGATAGATTGCCTCATAAGGGACATAATATTTGCCATAGTTGCCACGCTTGGCAAGCGGTTTTGCAACCGCAGTTTTTTTATTTTTAGTCGTTATTAGGAAGACGCTGCTGCCATCTCCTGATTTGTTTCACTCTGTCGCCCTTTACGGCACCCTCGGAAACATATGGGATAGTGGATTTTCTTACACCGCCACTACACGGTCCCATATAAATTTGGAATTTAACCCCTAAGGGTGGAAAAATAGGAGATGTAGTTTTAATATAATTATTTAGACGACATTCTAATTGCCTTGAGCTTGTTATATTCCGTATTCCACTTAAAAGAGTCGATAAACTAAAACTCTTAATTAAAAGTAAAAGAAAAACCATGGCGGATAACGCTCATGTTCCCGGTTCTTGATTATGCTGATGTCTGTTATTTGGATGCGACTGAGGAGCAATTAAACAAACTTGAGCGCTTGCAAAACTTATGTATTCGTTATATTTTCGGACTAAAAAAGTATGACCACATCTCCTCCTATCGCAAACAGCTCAAGTGGCTCCCAATCCGACTTCGCAGGAATACCCGTATCCTATGCCTCCTCTTTAACATACTATACAATCCAACATCACCACCCTATCTACGTGATCGATTCCACTTTGCGCACTTCCCCGATGCAGTTTGCAGATCACATTTAAAAACCCTCCTAAATTTCCCTTCCTCTAGAACTAAGTCCTAGAGCACTACTCGTATATTTCTTTGTCGTCCCAATGATTATATATATAATATATTATTATATTTTTATATGTAATATATAATATATATGTATATATATATATATATATATATAGATATATATATATATATATATATATATATATATATATAGTGTACATGTGTATATGTCTTTATAGTGGTATTTAGTTATATGTATGTTTACATGGATATATGTTTTTATTATCTTTACTTTATGTTAAGTATATTAATATTATAAAATTTTATTATGAGAGTGCACAGTAGATCAGCTTCTCTTTTAATTTGTCCAGTTTCAGGCCTGCTGGAAGAAATTTCAATATGAAATAAGCAGTGCCTTTGTACAAAATATCTTTTTTTTTCTTCATTGTAACATTATTTTGTGTGTACATAAATTGTTAAATAAATAAAATAACCAACCTCAAACAACTAAAAATAATAAAAATAACTTCCTCATAAAATTATATGAAGTCGTGCTCGACTTCGATAAACTATTTATTATTTACTTATTTATACTTCATTGTACGCCTTAATAAAAAGGATTACGGGCGGTGTAAATGTGTTGTGAATGCCAAAAGGA